CATTTAACCGTGTTTTATTTTATAAACATTTAACCGTAACTTATTTAATAAACATTTAACCGTGACTTATTTAATAAACATTTAACCTTGACTTATTTAATAAACATTAAACCGTGATTTATTTTATAAACATTTAACTGTGACTTATTTAATAAACATTTAACCGTGACTTATTTAATAAACATTTAACTCCTTAAAAATTGTTTTGCAAGGGACCTTCCGAGTTAGGTGGACACAACCGGCCAATCATTCTGGCCAGTCTTCGTTGGGTTTTGTTTTTGTTTTGTTTTTGTTTTTTGTTTTTTTTTTAATTATACCATTATAAAAATAGCATTCAAGGAAGATTAAGTTATAAAAGAATCTAATAGTTTTGAAAAATTATGTAAACAGGTTCAATTTTTAATCAAGCATGTATGCAAATCTCTCTTCCCCCCTCCCACACCCCCCATCCCAAACTGTCGTCACAACGGTGTGGCTAATAAATTACTAATATTTGCGAAATAATGAAAACTGACACGGTTGTGGGTTGTTGTTTTTTTTACAAATGCACTATCTAGGCAAAGCTGCGCGAAAATTTAATTTTTAAATAAAAAAAAGTATTTCTTATACGGTCGAATTTTGTAGCCTTAAAAGCCCCTTCCCCCTTCGTCACCCATTTCGGGGTTTGGTAGTTCGCCATTGACGTCAGAGAGATTGACGAAAGATTGTCAATCAGAGATCAGGTAGAGAAAAGGTGACGCCATATTATACATTTACATATCTAAGTGGTGTCATAACTTTTGTGTTGTCTGTTTTAATTTCAGTTATGGCGCCAGTAGTGAAATGGAGGGGGTGGTTTTTTAATTTGTTATATAAATTGAGGGTTGTTCTATACAAATGTTATTTAACGTTATATCGGGTGGTATTGAGGTTTTTTAAATTTCCAGTTCTTTTGTTATATAATATTTGCACGACTCCTAGTTTTTATTGAAATAAAAATATATCTTTGAACTAAACTAATATGCTTTTCAAATATGTCCCCGTCTATAGCGAGTTCGAGTACCTTTGGACGACGACGATATTCTAGTGGTAGCCAAAAGGCTACAGCTAAACAAGCATGGGACCATCAGCTACCAGTAAGAAAGAATTATTTATTTACATCAAGAATATTTTTCACGCAGAAGACGACTTCAGTTTTATTTAGACTAAGAAACTAGAAATGAGTAGAAATCTAATTTTCTACGGGCTATTTGTTAAGTCTCATTTAATTACGACGTCCACAAAAGAAACGACATATTGACACCTCCTTAGCCATGTACAATTCGTCCACTTCAAGCACTTTTTTTTCTTTTTTTAACATTGGGAACTATCGACAGTTAGTTCAAACACTTTTCTTTTTTTAATGTTGGCAACTAGCGACGATTGGTGGAACTGTTTTCTTCTTTTAATATTGGCAACTATCGACCACTGTAAAAACACATTTCTTCTTTTAATGTAGGGAACTAGCGACCACTGTACGAAACCGCATACGTGAGGACAGGCTTGAAGACAAGCGGCTGGAGAATTTACAGAGAAAGAAAAGAGAGGAAAGAAGAAGAATACTTCAGTCAGATAAACCGCTTAATGCGCCCTCGACATACGACTATCTCACAGCTTTTTACAATATGTACGGTATGCAGGACAGGGGGTATTCTCCAGTTTCCGGAAGTTACAGTAGACAAGGTTCAGTTTTCACGCCCCTTCCACCAATTAGAGGCAATAAAAGTTCCCCTGTGGATGATTCCGTTTTGGGCAGACGAACTCCAGTCACAATGGTTAGACAAGCGTATTTAAACAAGGCATCGCAAAGCCTGGACGGGTTTAGCCCAAGATTACCAGAAGTGTTGCACCAAGTGAAAACCCCTGTTGTGCCAATGTCTGGACAAAATGGAAGGACTTCCTACGTTAGCCAAATGAAATGGCAACATTCTGCCCTAGAGCTGGTGCAAAGGAACCATTTTTTATGAAATGCTCCAGCTATGTGTAGCTTTCTCTTATACCATTGCCAACCCCCCCCCCCCTCCCCCAAAAAACATATATTACGCATAGCGTTAAGTCCTAGATATATATCATCTCAAGAGCTTGTTTGTGATTGTGTACTACTTGTGTAGGCCCACTGTTTTAGTATTTTTGTTGATATTAATACTGAGTTACAAAATACGATTTAAACTAAAGAGCGAGTGAGTTCCCCTAAACTTTTCAGTATACTTGTATATGTTATAACACTTCAGTGAGATTTGGGATGGCATTTCCAGTGTAATTGGGCCATAGTAATTATAGGTTTTAATTAGTTTGTGACAAAAGCGCTTGTTTTACAAGAAAACACATTAGGAAGGTTAACGGAATATGCTACTGCGTTAAAACAACTGAAATGGTACTTAAGTTATCGTGTGCTCACACAGATACTCGCTACAGACTTGAATTTTTTCACGATTACAATAGGAGGATTTCAAAGAATGGACTGAGCTGCCCTTGAAGAACTACTTAGTGCAGCTAAGAACCGAGAAACATGGTAAAAAAAAACTATGAGAGAAAAACTGTGCAGCCCCCTCCCCCCCACCAACGACTGCAAGGGTTAAGAAAAGGTTGGTTGGCAATAGGCTTACTTCCCCTTGTACGAGAAAGTAAAAACGCACTAGTATCATAATATTGGATGTTCATAGGCGTATCATAGTGTCGAGTCATATAGTAGTCTGTTATTAAAAAAATGTTAAATAGATAGCAAACTTATTGTTTAATTATTATACATTTGTATAAGAACTATGGTTATTCAATAATTTTTATATAAAGCAAGATAAAAATAGTCCATGTGTAAATTTGCTGGAATGTCCATTAAAACATAGGCAAGTCACTTGCCTGTTCGATCAGTTACACTTACAAACTATAGGAAGTCTTCCCTTTTTTTCTTTGTCGTTATCTTAGCAGTGGCGGAACTAGAAAAAAAAAGGGCCACCCCGCAAAAAAAATTTTTAGGCCCCCCATATATATATATATATATATATATATATATATATATATATATATATACAAATACAAAATACGAACATAGAATACTCATTGCTGCCCTATTCGGATTTTTAAATATTTTTTTTAATGAATACAAATTACAACATAATTCATGTGTGTAAGTGTAGTAGTGTGTTATTGAAAATCATTTATATTTTATCTCTGCTGTTAGGCCTCTTAATATCTAGTCGGTGAAAAGAATATAGATAAATCATGAAAGCTTTGTATAAGTAGGCTAATGGTGTCTCGTGTTATGTTTATTTTAACGTTTTTTTTTTTTTTGTTTTTTTTTTATTAACTTTAAATACATTTCTTTTTTTGTACAATGTCATTCTTTAGTAAGTATTTTTTATTAAAAAATAATAATTAAGAGAAGCAATTGCTTTTTAATTTGTTTAGTTCAAATCTATTAAAAGGAGCTTATGAGCATCCCTATTCCCTATTATGAAGGGAAATAAGTCATGGAAGTGGTTTGAACATTTGATTATCTTTGATAAGTTTGAATCAAACTTTGAATTGATTGTAGGAGAAAGAGGACTGCTTTCACAAGTGGTTTAAAAAAGGGAAAAAGAATATACAAGTGCGTGGGGTGGTGTCTAAAGAATAAAGATAACCCAACCGCAGCTACGGTAATCTTTTTACAAAACAGCCATCAAGTCGAAAATGAAAGAAAATTAATTTTTTTGTTAACTATAAATCTTTTTAAAGAAAATTGATCCATACCAGATGTATTACTAGCTTCATCGGCTAAGACAGAAAATAATTGGCAGAAGTAATTTTCGCAACAATTTATTTAATGCACACGTTTACCACTTCCTTCTGAAGTTGCATTTGTAACTGAATTTTTTAGATGATGTTTAACTAGTTTAAAAGTGTTTCGTCTCCGCCCATTTCTCTGTATCTCAAAAGAGCTTGAAAATTTCCGGCCTAAGTGTTTAAGCCCTAAATCGGGGGTCTCCAAACTTTTCAGCCCGAGGGCCGCATTAACAATAAAATATCAGTTTGGGGGCCAGAGTTTCTTCCATGCATCTCTTTGGGGTGGACATGTCCCCCCCCCTACCCCCTCCCCAACGAAATATAATTTATATAGAAATATATACACATTTTAAATGCACCCCCCTCCAGGAGAAAAAGTCTGAAAGAAACACTGCCGGGGGCCAACAACACACGCGAGGTCTAAGTTTGTTTTTCTTGGGCAAACACAAAAACCCACCGCCATTTTTGGAACTTGTCTCTAAGGAAGTCATTTGCTTGCAATTCAATGACCTCCATCTGCAGTTCCTTGGGCAACTGGTTACATTTGCTTCAAATGGGTTTTGAAACAGTATCACTTCATCTGTCTTTGAATCCTGGTCAGAAAACCGCAACTGAAAGTGCAGCTGGAGGTCTTTGATGATCTCACATGCAAATGATGTGGGGAACTCAGCTGTTGCTTCAGCCATGAAGACCTTGCACTTCTGAAAGTGCGTCAAGCTGTTGCCTTGTACTTGTTCCAAAAACATGGAACAACTGTTCAGCGACTCATCCAGTGCAATTGAAAAATTGTGACACTTGTTAGCAGTTTTCACTATTCGAGTCATAATGTCTGCAACACGGAGGGCAGTGGTATTTGCACCCAAAGCTACAAATTCAAATTGTTTTGAATTTTCCGAGCAAAGTTCCTCAGCAACTTCTAAAAATCATTTTTTTTTTCCGTGAACAAAAAGATCTCCGCGGGCCGGATGAGAGGACCTCGCGGGCCGCAGTTTGGAGACCCCTGCCCTAATTGATAGCAACACAAGTCAATAGCTGTAACTTACAGTAAAACTAGTTATTTTGGGGATCCACGGTGTTTAAACCCCCCCCCCCCCCACCTGCTATAATAGATCTAGGCTTGTGATAACGTTTGTGACATTTGATTTAGGGCCATGGTGTCTTTACACTCGATTAGTTTGAAAGCAAATTAAATAGACATAACACGAAACTTAAAACTTATCGTAAATACTTTTTATTTACACAAATCAAGCATTTCAACACAGAGTATTTTTTGAAAAAGAAAACTCACCATTTAATACCCAACATGAGAGCATTATAAAATGTGTAGTTTAGTTCTTGCATGTTAAGAGGAACATTTTTAAAAAGCTTAAACCAATACCAGGAGTTTTGCTGGTTTATATTCACTGAAAACTTCTATTCTTTAGCATCTCCGATTCCATCAGCGTTGATGGCAAACATGGCTTCTGCCTCAGGTAAACAAGGAGAGTCATAGATTTTACATATTCTTGTTTCACCACGTCCTTTTCTTAATGATAACCTATAGATTGTTTCAACATTTTATATCATGATGTGGTGAAATGTTTTGATGGAGTAGTAGTTTAAGTTTATATATTTTATATTATTAGCTATACTTTAAAATGTCGATGGCAGCATACAAATACTGCAGTAGTAGTAGTAGGTTTGACAGCTAACTCAAAAGGCTCGAGTTCAGTGTTTCTTCCAGACTTTTTTCTGACAATGTTAAAAGTATATATTTACTATATAAATTCAATTTCGTGTGGGGGGGGGGGGGGGGGGGGCAGACTCTCTTCAGGACTGGAAAAAACAGTGCTCAAGCTCAGATCTCAGAATTGAGTCTGTAGGATCAAGGGTGGCTGACTACCGTTAGGGAAACTGGCTGGGCATAGAGCTGATCATACTAGTAGACCGAGGTCATTAAAATAGATGAACTCTGTTTCAACTTCCTAATGTATTTTGTGCACTAACAGGAAAAGATGATGAATACGGTACTGAATATCCAAAATAATGTGAAAATGCATTAAACTCAACCTTATTTAATTAAAATAAAATAGTAATTAGACAAAGATTTCTTTAGACTTACCTGGTGGTTGAAGCATGAGCAATTATGTTGCCACCTATGGGTTTCTTTGGGTCAGCAGCAAACATTGCTGCCCCATCTACCTGGGCCACAACTTGGTTGGTTATCACTACTGCTACACCAAACTGCAATTTTTTTTGCTAATTTGATTAAACTTATAACATTTCATAGTGTTAATTAGTAAAATGCTTATGTTTGAATTATTGCTCGGTCAACTATCAGAACTTTCTGAATACAATTTTATTTAGCAAACAAAGTGAACAGAGTGAGGTACACTATGAGGCCAGTAGTTCATATAGAGCACTTAAAGTAGTGTTGTTTCTCTAGTTATATAATAGGAATATAATAGGAAAATACTAAAGATTTGTATTTGAGATACTGTTCAAAAGGTTTTTTTTTCCACATATTTTAAAAAAAAAATGTGATTATTAGGAATCTGATTACTACAGCTGTTTATTTAAGATGTCCACACAGAATCTGTTCAATTTGAGAGAAATCACCCCTTCTCCCCCTTTTTATCTGTAAAAACACCATAATAAATTGGATCTAGAATATATATATTTATTCTCCATGAAAATTGCAATATAAATACTGGAATTTGATATTGAATCTAGAATGTGTTTTGAAAAATAAATCAAATATAATGTACCTCTACAGTGGTACCTCAAGATACAAGTTTAATTTGTTCTGTAACATTACTCGTATGTCAAATAGTTCAAATCGCAAAGCAGTTTTTTCCAGTGAAATGCTATGAAATGCCATTAATCCATTTCAGTTTGCCCTCAAATTGCTACCCGCGTGTTTTTGTTACATATTTTTAATAAGAAAAATGTGTTTATAAATAAATTTCTATAAAAGCAAAGTGGGGTTTGTTCCTCACACCTATTAGTATTAGATTGGGTACTTGCAGATAGGCTGCCGGCTGGGAAATAGTTCTTGACAAAGTTGAAAATTAGAACCGTCTCAATAATCGAGTTAGTAGTGACCGAAAACTAACCTAGACTGCTGCCTTGTATAAAGTGCTTGAATTAGATCGACCACTTGCAGATGCGACACAAATTTAATATTTGGTAAAAAAAAGAACCCCCCCCCCCCCGTTCTTGGACTAATCACAAGAATAAACAAAGAAAACATTTAAATAATAAAAGAAAAATTCCTTTAAAATTTATACTTAAGGGTTATCAAATAGGTGTGAAAATTAAATCATGTCTTATAACTGATTTTGATCTATGGCTGATGTAAACAAAGCAAATACATCTCAGATAGGTGCATTTTCTGAGGCACAAGGGTATTTATTTACGTTTAAAAAGGGTATTTCAAAAATATTTTTGACACCATGATCAATTAAAGTTTTTTTTTTTGTTTTTTTAACAAAGCATTAGAATGAAAAAACTCAAAGAAAGAGAAAAGCAAACAGTTTCGACGGTTAAATATATTGCAATCATTAATTCATTTAACTCCATCTATCTAGAATGTTAAACAAGTTAATTAAAAAGTCTAGTGACATTTAAGCGCAATTTCCTTATGTTATCTAAAAATAGCTCTGTCGTAGCGTAAATCAAGAGCAGGGTTAGTAAAACCATTGGTTAGTTATTAAAACGTTTTTTATTAAATTTTTTTTCAGTATTTTACATGTTTTATTTACAATAGAGTTACATGACTAAAAAAAACCATTGCGCGCCTAGCTACCGAACGTGATGGCGCAGCCATTGACCGTGATGGCGCAGCTATTGAACGTGATGACACGTATGGTGTGGTTGGATAAAAATGCCTAGTAATTCGGTCCAAATTTTAATTAATTCAAAAAAATTTTTGTGACCGAATGAAAGGATATTTTTGAAAACTTTCTCGGCAATATTGTTCTAAATTATGGCAGGAATCGATTGGTAAATGTTTCAAGTCGCTAAGTGGTCTGGTTGCCGAGATATGGGCCAAAAACTGCATTTTTTCGAGGTTTTTTGGCTTTTCCGGGAAATCCATGAAAGAAACCCGGAATTTTTATGACCTATGTTCATCCTCGTAACTTGCTTAACATAATTGCTTTTGGAACTAGTCATCGATATTGCTTCGTTGAGGAGGAGATACGACTTAAAGCTGCGGACACACATCCATCCATCCATCCAGAAATGACGGGTTTATAAACGCAATTCTCCAGAATGGAAATTGCGCTAAAAAACTACTGCTATTATTAATTTTTTTGGAAAATAGTTTTAAAACTGTACCATAAGTCTTTAAAACAACACGATTCCATTTTAATCGATATTTTGCTGTATTAAATTTGGTCGTTGTATGTGTGCATGTACACCCAGGTAAAGTATGTCACATTTTGGATAAAATTAAGATTGAATTTTAGTTATTTGCTTATTTTAAGTTAGGTATCAATAATATTGGCAATCCAGTGCATATTATTTAACATTTAATACGTTCTGGTTGCTTTTATTTTCACGCCACTTCCACCTCTAATTAGAGGCAATAAAAGTTCCTGTTAATGCTAAATTCTTTCGGTCACTTTAATTAACTTACTCTTTACACTTTTAATACTACACTTCATCCCTAAACTTAAAGGAACTAAAATTCACTGAATTTGCTACTTGATATTTTATTTTTACTTTTGATTAATTTTTGTGCTGGCTTTTCACTGGTCTCTGTAGTTTACACAAACTTTACTCTTTTTTACAAGAAGGCTGTTTAAAACAAAATCAGTTGAGATGGTTTTGGTTACAACTTTTTCAGGTGTTATTAGTTATGAAGTGTAAAACCAGTGGATCCAGTTACTTGTATCTCAAATTTTCTCTCAATTGCTTGTATCTCAAAAATCTTGTATGCCAGGCACTCTATGTCGAGGTAACACTGATAGTATTTCTGTATTTTTTAAAAAAAAAAATTTCCAATCCCCACCTCATCCGCTAAACGTAGAAGCATTCGTAAAAATCTAGCCAAATGCATCTGTCTTGCCGATAATTCTCCCCTTCCAGCATAGTCTGTTCTATATAAAGCAGTTGCGCTGTCCACAATCAACAAGGCATAGCTAAAAATAAAAAAAAAATCTTTTTGTCATACTGGTATTTGCATTCACACTATAACCCAATAGCTCAAATGATAATTAACAAAAAGAAAAGTATGTTAACCGAGACTCTGCCATCATGGCTGCTGCTTGAATTAAAAGCTGGCTCTGATGATCACTGTTATATGCCCGAGCATATGCCACATTGTCAAGTACATCACTGCCAGATAAACCATACCTGAAAGAAAATATCTCAAGTAATTTTAACCAGAGGTTTTAAACACCATAACTTAAAATATACAGATTAATACAACTTGTTTACATTATTCTTACTTTTTAACAAATGTAGCAGTGTCATTCCTTTTTAAATTAGATCTACATCTTGTTTATTTATTAGGGACAGAAAAATGTGTCTCATTTCAAAGTCAACATAATTCATAAATCTAATCACTTTTGTCACTAATCCCAACCCCTATCATTAAATGCCATCATAAAAAGCCAGATTAATTCATTATCCTTTCATAAAAGGGGAGCATTCACTAGATGATTGTAAAATTTTATAGTCAGTGGGCACCGCTATGCTATCATAAAAAAAATATCTGTACCTGTCTGCAACAGCTAGTAGTCTTTCTGGTCTAAATGTTCCCTCTGTATCAATATACATAGCTTTACCTTCACCTCCCCCCATGTCAATCGGAAGCTGAAATTGTTTTTAAATAAACAAAAAAAAAAGAATAAAGATTTATTTATAAAAATAAATTAAATGATCTGGTAAAGAGAGTGCTTGCATTGAAATCATTAAAAAGTTAACTTTTTAAATACAAGTGAAAATAAATTGGAGGTTATACTTGCTGACTAAACTAATAATTGTACTCTTACCTGACATGTCACAGCCAGTGTATGACAAAGCTGAGTTTTCCCAGTACGGAATTCCCCAAAAATTTCTGTAATTGATCCTGTTTCAATGCCACCTGCAATACACAAAAAAAAACAAATAAGAGACAAATCTCACCAGCAAACATTTTTTCCCAAATAAACGACAAGCTTTACGATTAATAAACATATATAAAAATTGTTACAGTAACAATCTTAAAAAAGCACTAAATATTAGAAAATGAAACATTTAAAAGCAAAAATTGTTTTAAGGGGTCATCCATTTATGATGTCCACAAAAAATTGGAATAATGGTCTTTGAAATGTTTAAAGATAAACTTGAAATACTGTGAATAGTTTTAGAAAATTTGACCCCCCCCCCCCCCATCAGTCAATTTTTTTCGGGACCCCCCCCCCCCCCCCCCCCCCCCCCACGCAGTGTGTCGACGTCATAATTGGATGAGTCCTCCAAAAAGCAAAGCACCTTTAAATTTGTGCTATCTTGCAGCTAAAACTAAATATCTACAACTAATTTACAAAATGCTTTGATATTACCTTATTATTTATTGGGCTAAGACTAATTGTAGATTTTTTTATTTAAAAAAAAAAAAAAAAAAAAGACTAAATGGCTTAGCAATGGAGGAGATATCAAACAATTTCAGTCAGTAAAGCAATATTTCCATAGCATTGGGTTGATATAGCAAATACTTTCTACTGCAACTACAGATGGACTCTGTGATCAAAGCAATGCATTTATTATCACGAGCAAATGTCAAGTACTTTTTAGAGTTACAAGGGCTCAGTGACATGATCCAAATCCAGGCAAAAAGTCTAAAAAGGCCAAATAGTTCAAAAGGAAAAATGATAAACATCAATGTGGTGGGAGGAAATAAATTTAGATTTTTTTCCTAATCAGCATGACATTTTAAAAATTCTTTTTACAAACCTTGCAACAATTTATCAAGTTCTTTGGAGCCAGTAGTCAACTGAATTATTTCTGATCGTTTCTGATGGAATTCTGTAGCAGTTGTAAAGCCCATTGGAACAAGTTTTGCAGCTTCTGCCTGTAAACAAATCATGTTTGTAATTTTTTAAGTTGCAAGAAAACAATGTATAAACAAGTGTCTTTAGTTACATTTAGTTAATAAATGGATTTTAATGTTCTCAACTATCACTTGAAACTTCCGAGAAAGGTAGGCTGTAAGAGTTTTACTGAGCAAGATCGCAAGGTGTGGAAATTGTGACATGAAAATATTTGCTACCATGTAGCAACACTTGCATTTTTTACATCTAATACATAAAGCTCAATTCTGTATGTAATAAGTTTGTCGTAGATACTTCGATGGATTTAAGTGTTAGATTATAGTGCTCACTGTCTAAATTTATGAGTTAAAAAAATTAATACTGAAAGTGTTGGGAAATAATTTTCATTTTTCAAACTGATAGTAATAATTATCGGCATGTTCATTAAACACAATCTAAAAAAAATATCATCTTTTACAAAAATTCTAATTATGTCTGAAAATTATTTATATTTAGTCCTTTAGCACTTACTTCCTTTTGATAAATTAGGAAAACACAATTACTTCCCTTTATAAAACATTGCATCAGTGGAAAAGAATTTACATTTTATTACTTTGTTTTGGTGTTGGGAAAAAAATAATTACATAATTAGCGGGGATTTATCAAGTGCAAATGTTGTAGGTATTTTACGGATAAGCTTGGAGTATTATAATTGTTCATTTGGTTTGGTTTGGCACCTACGTTCGTTTAAGTGAGTGCAAAAGACTATGAATAAGTTGGGGTACTATAGTCGTTTATTAAGCTGAAACAGGCGATTCTGCCCCGGGCTAGACTGTGAGCACTTTGCGTTTATGTTCGCGTTTGTGTTTTCTTTGTGTTTAGGTTGGGTTTGCGTTAGTGGTTGCGTTTTGATTTGGTTTGTTTTTGTTCGTTTTTTTTTTCGTTTTTGTTTGTGTTTTTTTCTTTGGGTTTGTGTTTGTATTTGTGTTTGTGGTTGGTTTGGCGTTTGGATTTGGTTTGTTTTCATTTGCTTTTTTTCTTTGTGTTCGTATAGGTGTTTGTGGTTGTGGTTGGGTTTGTTGTTAGGTTTTTGTTTGCTTTTTTGTTTGTTTTTCCTTTGTGTTTGTTTTGGTGTTTGTGGTTGTGTTTGTGGTTGGGTTTGTTGTTAGGTTTTTGTTTTCGTTTGTATTTGTAATTGTGTTAGCGTTATGTTTGCATTTTGTTGTTTTGGTTTTGGTTGGTTGTGGTTTGGGTGGGCAGTGCCGGGTTTATGATGATTACTAAACACACAGGTAATGGTCTTTAACAGAAAGGTTTTTCACAGAAGCCAGAGCAGGCTCTGGCCGGGACGGCTAGTTCTCATATAAAGTATATACTACTACTATAACAATAAAAATCAAGTGTGACATATCGTAACACCAACCCAATCGAGTCAAAATCTGCTTTCAGAAAAAAAAAAGTAAAAGATTTAGCTCCCTAACCAAGCGGAATCCACTATTTTGACTCCATTCAGTGGTGTTTCTTCTAGACGATTTTCTCTGGGTGGTGGAAAGAGGGGTTGCACTTGCAATTTTCGGGTGGGGGGCGAACACTGCTAAAAGTATTTATTTTCTATATAAATTCCCTTTCGCTCGGGGGGGGGGGGGGTTCCTTGAAGAAACTCTTACTCCCTTGCTAATAAAGTCGTAAATTATATTAAATCTGTAGCCCTAAACAGCATCTGCTTAAAGAGCTGTGCAAAGAAATGAATTCTGGGGTTCTGCTTTTGTACACTAGAGTACGCTGGCTGTCAAAAGGAAATGATGTGAATCGTGTTTTAGAATTGAAAGATGAAATCAAGTTGTTTTTGGAGCTGCAAGGGAAACAAGACCTTTTGGTATACTTTAACAATGAAGAGTGGTTGGAGAGAGTATCATACCTAGCAGATATATTGGAACATCAACATAAGTTTAACCTGAAGCTTCAGGGAAAATGAATGAATATTATCTCTTTTCATGATAATCGCGGGGCATTTTTTTCAAAGCTGCAAAATTGGCGATAAAAATATAATCTCATAAATATTGCCATGTTTGAGAAATTCTGCAGTGGGGTACATGAATCTGCTTGTGAGATAAATACAAATTTGAAACATGATTCCGGGCATCTTGAATCTCTTGAAAACATACTGCGGCGTAATTCCCCTGAGCTGAAAGAAGAAGAATCTGCATTGACACGTCCCCCATTCTCTTCTTCCTTTGATATTCCTAGCATGTTAAATGAAAAACTGCTCACACAATTTTGGTTTAGTATGGATCATTCATACCCAAAAGTGAAATTGATTGCCTTTTCGAGTTCTATTTCTTTTTGTGTCTACACATCTTTGGGAGAATGGATTTTCAACACTTCTCCAATTAAAAACAGTACAATGATATAAATTAAATGTTGAGAATGATGAAGTTCGCGTTTACAAAAACTCAACCGCGAATGTTGAGGCTAGTTAATAGCATGTAATTTCACTCATTGTATTAAAACAGTTATGAAAAATAATTCATATTGAAAGTCTACAAGGAAATCTTATTTTAGTGCTTATTAATTTCCTTATTAATTTTGACTTCTTAATTCTACGGGGTCGCAGTTCACATACTTTTTATAAAAGGGGGTCACCACTAGAAAAAGTTTGGGAACCACTGATATAGTCATCAATTTAATATATTCGCAAAACCTGGGCAGCACTAGGTATATGATGCTGAATGAACACAAAAGTCAGTTGTTTACAGATACATTTTTCACAAAAGTCAGTTAAGAACCAGGCCCGGACGGCTAGTTAGATATATATGGCAGTAACATTATGTGCAATAAGGCTAGAATAAAATTAATTAAACTTGTTAATTTTACAAAAAATACCTATAAAAATTTATCTTCCCAACAGGCCAGAGCTCCATCACTAAAATTAAATTAAAAGCAAATTCACCTATGTAACTCTTATACCGTGTTAACACTTACGACATGTCATATATAATTCTCTTCTTGGATACCCTAGAAAACACCAAGCTGTAAGCGCGCTCCCTACCACCCCCACCCCTACATGGTCTGGTGAGCTGTGGTTCACGTTAAATGTTTACAATCGTAGATGGCTATTAGGGGCAGATAATTTAGTCTGAACGATTTCAAACTTAGGGGAGGTAACTAAGAGGAGGCTGCTTTCGGGGGGGGGGGGGGGGTAGGGGTTGGGGAAAGGAGGGGGGGTTATTGTACTTAACGAGCTACTGATAGTGTTTTAAAGGAAATATATTCAGTGGCAGCATTGGTACTGTCGAATTCACACATTATGAATTACTGAAAAGTAGAAAAATAAAACTAAATAGCGGCATATGATACGCCGCGTGTCTGCTCGTATACTATACTTGGCCTACATAAGTGTATACTAAACATGTTATGTGTATATGGAACATCTTCTGAGTCGCAAGGCACAAAACCACGTTTATGTTGTTTTTGTCTTTGCTCGCTGAGTAAAAACATAGGACATGTTCTGAATTTCAGATGAGTGCTAATGTGTCGAAATGTAGTAAATGCATCACGGACCTAATTTCTAGCTCTCAGCTGATTGCAAAATTATCTTAAATATACTGAACTTGAGTTTTTGAGCACACAATTTCAAAATTCATAACTTCTCTAGGCCCTACTAAAAATTGCATTTTTTATAATTACTTATTATTTCTTTAATTAAATCTCAAACATGTTTTAATGAAAAGTTGTAATGTCTAATGCTTTACAATTTTGAGTTAAAACCAGTTTAGGTTGTAATTAAATAAACAATAATTAATTAATATAAATATAATTCAACCAAATTTATCTCCAATTTTTCCTTTACCAATATTTTGTTTTAAGTGTATCATTAGTATCAAAGCACTGTTTCCGTCTGACAGAGAAATAAATCTATAGGCCCACCAGAAGGTACTTGTGGGATCACGTTTGTACTGACTATAAAAACAGGCAGATAAAATCATAGGCTAATTATTTAGGTTTAAAATGGAACACATTTAACGTAAAGAAGCTCGATCTCAATATTTTTAATAGGCTTGGCAAATAAAAAGCATTGAAACAAAACATTTCTCTCCACCCATGTCGTGAATGGTGTTTTATTTTATTGTTTAAACTTTTTAATTTGGACCTTTTGAGAAGGTACATAAAAACTAAACACTTCTCCAGTTACTAAATATTGTAAAGTGACAGCAAGCTGGGGAAATGGCTACCATGGGTTGGGGGTAAGGAAGGAAGCGGTGATTGAACTGCGGGATAGGCGGAAGAGTAATAGGTCTTAGACCTGTGCTATTATGCATAACATTATAAAAACTTTCTAGCTCAGTTGCTCACACTCCAATAAAATTTCTAAAGTCTTGCATGTTCTAATTTTTATATAATTTATTATTTGAATTGTAAGCACAAAATGTTCTATAACATGTTCTGTAAGTGTGAACGCTAAAGTATACATGTTCTGTGAACAAAATGTTTTCAGATACAATTAACTTTTGGTGGGCTTTGTTTTCTAGAAATGTATAGTATACATGTCGTAAGTGTAAACGCTGTGTTAGAATGATAAAAGTCTGCTGTTAATTCAAGTGAACTTAATACTTACAACAATTTTATCAGCTTTAACTTCACTGATTCCTTTAATTGACAACAACATCTTCTTAGGGGCAAATGCTACAGACTCTACAGTAAAGAAACCTGCTTCTTCTAGCTTTTTAATGTCCCCAGCACTGATGCCATTGCCCTGTAAAAATTGGAAGAAAAGGTGTGCTTATAATTAGAATCAATTTACATGTTAAATATCAAATTATGCTTTTTTCAAGTTTATATATGGTGAGGAAGTTACTAAAATAGCTAATAACAGTAGAGTCGAATAAAAATAATTAATTAAAATGTTTAATAATTATGCCAGGGGAGGCAATTTAAAAAGAAATTCAACTCAAGCTAAATATTGCTATTGAATTGAACTTTAATTTAAGTAAGAAAATTTGTATTCCTTCCGCATTGATTATTATATGTTAAGGCTCATAATTAACATAGATTCATGTTCAGATTATTTATATTATTTCCTGAATAGTCGGCACAGAGTTTTATAGTTTCTTTTTTATTTCTATGGTCTCTTAAAATCACTATTTTGTTTTTGTTTTTCTGTGTTATTAAAACAGATGGATAAATTAGAGAATGTACGAAGGCTCTCTCTGGGCGTGAACGCCAAGGAAAGTGTGTTGTTTGGTGCCGGTTCTAATTGAGGGATGAGGGCAAATTGTGCAGATGCTCATGAGAGCAGTTTTGTTAGAATACATGACCGTTTGTTTGATAAAATCATTTCATAAAGTGTTAGTTCTGTTCCCAAGTTGGTTCATTTAAAAAAGATACACAAATATTTAAAGATAAATGTTCCTGAAAAACTTCACAGTAAATATATATAATGCATACCTCCAGTTTAGCTAATGGCATTGGTCCAAAAGTCTCTTCTTCTGCTGTGTGTCCTTTCTGTTCTTCTCTGGACTGTTGCATTGCTGTAGCCATTTGATTACTCCTAGCTTGGTTTACAAATAAAAAATTTACTCAGTGAGTAAAATGATTTTAAAAATGGTGATTCATACATACCAAACAAATGCAATTGTTATTTCTATTTTTTAAGTGTTATTCACAAAAACTCTTATCTTAGTAGGCTAAATACACCTTGACAAGCATATGTATATGTTACAGCCAAACCCTGAAGTACATTGGCCATCCAGATCATTGGCAGATTTTGGATGTTTGTATAACATTCTCACATGAAATTATGTTTATATTGATTATTACTTTATGTAAATGACAGAAACTGTCAAATCAATTTATTGTAATAATTTTCTTATGGCGAAAAAGGGTTTCAATTGCCCACATACCTCATGTTGCTTGGAACCTATTGTTCACTTAAAGGGCAGCACCCACCATTACATTATCTTTTGAACATTCCGTCTTTTTGCATATAATACAGACTGTCTTTGGGATTTTTTTTTATTGATGATTGTCTCACCTGATCATAGAGGTGCCTATCATGGACAGTAGTAACCCATATCTTGCAATTAGTAGGCAACTAACAAAGGTGTAGATTTTTTTTATGGTCTTTCTGCCTCTTAGTGTGTCAGCCCTTTACAAACACACATACACCTCTCACTCTTTGGCACTTGATACATAGGTATTTTCAAAAAGAGGATATTGACAAACCAAAAATGTCAAAGAGTCTTTTTAAACATGAGCTGAATATATACATTACTCGAAATCAAACTGCATGAAGTTGTGAGACTTTTTTATTAAAAAACATTTTAATGGTTAAAATGAACAACAGGAACAAATGAGTATTTATTTTTAGCCTGGTGCTCCATCTATCTATCTATCTATATATATATATAAAGCAATGTATGTGTGTGTGTGTGTGTTTGATTGTCCGTCTTTTATGCATTACTACACCTTTCATCCGATCAGCATGAGACTTTGGAAAGTTGTTGAGAATACTTCTGGGGAGGTTTCTGCAGGAAAAAAAATTCAAATTCGCAGGGGTGGCGCTCCGACAGAGTGCGATTTTTCTCTATGGTATATAAAAAATACAAGTGGAATGCAGTCTGACACCGTTCATTCGAGTGCTATGAAACCTTGGGGAGTTGATTAGAACACTTCAAGGGAGGTTTCTGTAAAAAAATCTTTTTTAATTTTGCAAGGGCGGCACCCCGGGAAGATGCAATTATTCTGTATATACAATATATAACAAAAAATGAAAGTCGATGCAGTTCGACACAGTTTAAAGTGCCATAAAACTTTAGGGAGTTGTTGAATACTCCCGAGGTCTCTAAGGGGGGGGAGGGGGGGTAATTGTGCTATTTGGGGCCTTGGTCTTTCCCGTGAATGCTATGGCGAGAACGTTCTGTCTCAACAGTGTGATAGACAATGGATAAGATGGGGCATTACAGTCGCTCACTAAATTGAATCAGGCGTGTCCACCTGCGCCCTGGTAAGGTGCGATTTGGCTGCGAACAATTTCATTTTCTGCCCCCAAAGGATCATTATAATAATCGGAAAAATTAACCAAGGTTAGATTAGTAACAGGGATGTTTCTTTTTGTCTGTAAAAAAATCCAAAAAGTTTTGTCACTTTGCGAATGATACAATTAGCATCTATTTTTAGCCGATCCAATCAGAAATTAAGATTGAGCATTAATAACAGACCATTAGTAATGCTAACATATTGCATCAGTCACACTAATGTTTAAAACACATCAAATAGCCTAATTTTTATTAAGTGTTAAAGAAAAAATCTGCATCATTTTTTACAGGATACTATTTGGCACTCTGGGTTATCCTATGAGCATGATGGCGCCTATGTTAGTTTTAAGTAGCCAGGGGCAGTACGCTGCACCTCTGCTGTAGTGTAATAGGGGCTCCCAAGAGCACCCTCTATATTCTATATCCTTAACACATGGGTGGTCACCAAAGTGTGTTCTACCTCATTGTTTCGCTGAGTGATTAACGTACACTAAAGGTTTTCCTGCTGTAGTGTAGGTAAATCCGTGTCCCAATAATTATTATCCAAGCGCAGGCATTGTTGACATTTTTACAGTTTTAGAAAACAAGGTCACGCGTCTAAGAACATAGAGGATTGGTAAAACATTGATGAAACCCTTCTTATATATTTCGTCAGACTTTATCCCCAAGGCAACGCGCTGGGACAGGTACGCTAGTTAGTTATAAATAGGCCCCCTATTACTTTAGTAAATAAATTAAATAGGTCTAGATCTAGATCTAGGGCAGAATCTAGGACTAGATCTCTAGTAGTTAGTCATAGTAGGCTATCCTACTCAAATAACTTACTTAATACTTAACCTTGGGTGTCATGTTGGTTAAGTATAAGTATAAGTTAAGTAGAATCTAGTCTAGATTCTAATACTAACTTAATACTAGATCTAGTCTTAGTAAACCAAGTTTTAGTTGCCACCCAAGACACCAAAAGTTAACTCATAACTGCCTTGCTTTACTTATTCTTAACTTTAAGAGTTTAAGACTTAAAGTTAAACTAAAAATTAAACTTACTTAGATTTAGATCTAGTAATACACTTAGGCCTACTTATTTTAAGTTACTACTGTATTACTGTAAGTACTGTAAGTGATCATGTACGACATGTAGGCCTAATGAAATTCAGGAAGATTCTAGTCTAGATCTAGATAGATGTTCTAGATCTAGAATAGTAGTATAAATATATAAATCTAGATTTCTAGATCTATCTAGATCTACAGATTCTGACAAAAGATTGAAATTAGGTTCTAGATTATTAAATAGATCAATATTTTTATAAATCACCGCCACAAGAATTTATTGCCAGAAAAATATTTCAATTTTAAATCTAGAATCTAGATTTAGATCTAGATCTAGATCTAAATATATTTCTATATCTTAAATATATAGATCTAGAATCTAGATCTACTTTCAACTCATAAATTTGTCCAAACAAAAAGGCCTGGAATAATTATAAATTGTTCTTTATGAAGCTCTCAGTGACTAATAAATCAGCCGGGGGCCAATGGACTTTACAAGACTAAATAAAAATTTTAACTTCTTTAAGAGCGGACTGTGACGTCACCTCGTCATAGTGCCACCCCCCCCCCCCCCCCCCCCCATCCCTTGGACCCCTAAGTGACTACTGCTTTGCATTAAGTTACACCTTTGACATGTGTTGCTATCATTTCGCCATCATTTAGAATCTAGGGCTTTAACACTAAACACTTAGACATGATCGCAGCCAATAGAACAACATATAGATCTAGATCTAGTATAATATTGTATAGGCCTACCCCATTGTGATAAGAATTGCCTATAGATCTTAGTTAAGATTTTTATTATCGCGCGGCGCTAAACTACAATCAAAATAATCTAGAAAGCAGTAGGCCAAAGCAAAGCTGGTATGGGGCAGTTTTCTTTTAGTGTTTGCTACTATGATAACGACATAAAGAAAATTAGCTGCATACCATACCAGTGCTCCGCCACAGTGAATCTTTTTTTAAATGTACCAACTAGAAACAGAACAAAACACAAACACAACGCAAAGGCAAACACAAACACAAAAGAAAACGCAAAACACAAACACAATGCTAACACAAAATGCAAATTTTGAGAATTGTTGGAATTTATCGTGAAAAGAAGGCATTTCAAAGAGGTTATAGTGGTTGTAGAGGTAGGACAAATGGTTACTTTTATGCCAATAGTGGTCATGCGAATCATTTGTCTGGAGCCAGTACGTCGGGAGCGAATATGCTGGGAGCCGATTTGTCGGAAGCCACTATTTCCTGAGCCTATTTGTTGGGAGCCAATATGTCGAGAGCATATTTTTTGGGGAGCCTAAATGTCGGGAGCCCGTTTAACGGGAGCCAGTAAGACGGGGCCATTTTGACGGGGCTATTTTGACTGGGTCGTTTTTTCGAGGATCGATTTGACGGGGTCATATTAAAGGGGCCGTTTTGACCCGGACCATTTGGACGGTTGACCCACTGTCGGGCAAGGCAATGTGAGATATAGCATCCAGCACCCGTAAATTAACATGCATCACTACAAACCTAACTGCCTGAGAAATTACCTACCCCCCCCCCCACCACACACAGACCTGCATCTCATACCTGCCTGCCCTCCCCCGAAATGGTCCATCCTACCCAGAGGCATAGCGAGGTCGGGTGTCACCCGGTGCGGCACTTAATGGTGTCACCCCCCCCCCCCCCTCCCGTAAGAAAAAAAAAAGAAAAAAAAAAAAAAAAAAAAAAAATATATATATATATATATATATATATATATATATATATATATATATATATATATATATATATATATATATATATGTTACGGTCAAAGCCCGAAGTCGGCCAATGCGCGGATTGGCTGGCCAATCCGCGCATTGGCCAATATCGCCTCCCATAGGTCGGTCAAAGTCCGAAACTTTGCTTGATTTCGGTCTTTGGCCGGCCAATCCGCAGACTGGCCATGGTGGACCGGCCAAAGTCTTAATTAGAAGATCATCTGGCTAGGGACGACCGGCCAAAGTCCGAATTAGAAAATCATGAGCAGATTTTGGGTTTTTAATGCCGTAAGGATCATGAAATTAACTTTTTATTGATTATTAATTAAAGTAAATGAAAAAACATTCAAATTTTTTATTGTACTATAGTCTCAATCAATCAATATTATCATTTGTTACAACAAGTTGAACTTTTATGGCATTTAGAATTACATAGCAGCTTGTTATTTTTACACTTGCAGCGATTTGTTGTGCACTTGGTTGTGCAATTGCAGCGAGTGTAGCCTTGGCCCCCAGTCAATGATTGTGAAGATGCGATGGTTCGTAGTGATTTTTCCTCGGTGCCAACTGACGACAATAAGAGCACTTTTTCGTGAAGAATTGAAAACTCACTTCTAGCATACAGTTGTTTTAGAACACCATGTTCCGTTCCTAATTTGTAGAAACCGCCCTCGACGCTCATGACAACTGCAATCACGCTTCGGTGATCACCGCGACCTCTGTCAACATCTGGAACACGGATGCGTACATTGTCACCCACTTCACCATCTTTAAATTTTGTATTTGATGTTTTAAGCATCTTAGCACCTTGATTTTGCAAGCCAGTATGAGCTGCTGACCTGTGTTCCATGATGTCTTGTTTGTTGTGACACAATCTGCAGGTAATGTTCCCTCCGTACCCTTCGTCTGCTTCATTGGGTACTCCACAAATAGCATGGACATCTTTGCCACAGGATCCACAAGAATGAGCTGTACAAACAAGAGCTAAACAATACGTTACTCACAATGAAACCGCACCCAGAATAATGAAAACGCGATCACAACTTAGTCTAGATAGAACATTGGCCAGGACATCCCGGCCAAAGCGTGCATTGGCCGGCCAATGTACAAAATACGCTGTCAAGTTTAAGTACTTCGGACTTTGGCCAGTACATCCCGGCCAGTGCGCGCATTGGGCGGCCAATGTACAAAATACGATCTTAGTTCTAAGTTCTTCGGGCTTTGGCCAAGAGAGCCGGCCAATCCGCGCATTGGCCGGCCAATCCGGGGTTTGGCCGCACTTCGGGCTTTGACCGTAACATATATATTCCATATACACTTGTAAGTATGTGTATACGCATGTGTTTATGTATTCAATTTTTTTTCTTCTGGATGTATTTAATTTTTTTACCCCTCCACCCCATACATGGATTAACATATAGTTTATTGCCGTTTTTCCTCAGGCATATATATTGCCACGTTGAGTTGATGTAACTTCCCCCCCCCCCCCCAGTCACCCGCACTGTGATTGCTTTAAACTGTTCTCAGATAATACTAACGATTTGTATCTATATTCAGTTATAAATACAGCTGGATGTTGCATGTTTTCTTTATCATTAGCAGGTTTACGTCATGGTGTCACCCCCACCCCCCCCCTTCCACCCGTGTCGGGGTCAGAGTTTTTTCCAGGCATCTCTTCGAGAAAAAAGTCTGGAAGAAACACTGGTCGGAATTTAACAAGTTTGCCCTTAAAAGACTATTTAATTCACTCTAATTAATCATTTAATTAAGTTAAATTATCATTTTTCTGTATGTAATTTGCTATTTTTTGCCCTGGTGTCACCCCCCTAAATGGTGTCACCCGGCCCGCACCCCGCCCTTCTCCCCCCCCCCCCCCCCCGCTACGTCACTGATCCTACTAAACATTCATAATTACAATCGAGCCTTTTTACTTTCTCGTATACGAAGTATAGAGGAAATATTGTAATCGTGCAAAAAAATTGAAATCGAGATTTTCAAAAATCCCTGAATCGGAAAAGCATAGTTTTGCAATTTTGTCCGTATGTTTGTGTGTATATATGTACTCACATGTGTATGTGTGTGTATGTATGTCTGTGAACACGATAATTTATGTACCGTTACAGCGAGGTTGATGTAATTTCATATATAAGTATTATATCAAATTTGTAGTTCAGTATCAACTTGTCAGCGATTTCCGGTAACCGGAAGAGGAACTTATACTGCTCATTGTTTTTTAAAAGTATATATAACTTTATTACTGTTTCAGATAGATAAACGAAATTTCACATGTAAGTAAAGATTGTTTTTGGCGTTCACTAGGTGCGCAATTCTTTTTTCTACGAGATTCTATTTTTAAAAGTTTAAGTAATTAAAAATGGATTTTTTAAAAAAATCATGTCTATATCTTCCATAGCGTTATATAAGAATATTCGAGAAATCATAGGGGAGATCACTCCCGGTTTATTTTTTCCTGTGACTTTTCCCCCCACAATCATTTTTGTTGTGGGTGTGTGTAATTGTTTTATATTTATTATGAATTGTCGTTGGACCTGTATAGCTTGATATGATCACTGAACACTCTTTACCGTTGAAAAACAATTTACGGATTCATATAAGATACAGCAAAAAAAAAAAATTAATACCTTTAACTAACCGTTACCCTTTCATGGCCTACATAGATACACCCAAGTAAATTTTAAAGCAAAAAGCGTTGACCAATGGGCACTGGTGTTGCGAGCACGAGTGAATCATACGTGATCGCCTTTGTTGCGTTTATTCACGTGATGATTTTGCCTTCGGCTGCCCCAGGGTGGTTTCGTTGTGAAACACGCCGGCTAATTCAACATAGTTAAAGTCTCTTAACTGATAAAGCCCTATATAAATAATGGCCTTGATAAATAAGGTCAACTCGAGGGGGGAGACACCATTTCACCCAAAGCGCAAGCATTTTAACCTTTTAATTTTGGGGCAGGTAATGTTACTATAAAAACAAAGCTGCGCAGAGAAAAAAGTCACAGGAAAAGTCACGAATGTTTTGAATGGAATTTGTTAATACTTTTATGAAGTATGCTAATCAACTATTATTCAACGATTAATTAAATCATGTAATTAATTATTTTAGATATATATGAATTATATGCGTGGGTTGAATTCATATAGTAGCCTATTTGAGAAATCGGAAATAACGTAAATTACTACTTCCAGTCAAGTGAACAGTAAACAATATCTTTATAATAGTGCGGAATATTAGTACTTTATAAATACATATGCGTTTTTTTTTAATTAAATCGGAAATAGCGCAAATTACTACTTTTGGTCAACGGAAATTACCCCAAATTTGATAGAAGGCAGAGAATGATATCTCATGGGAAAATTCCTTCATCTATTAGAAACATTACTCAAGTTATAGGCTTTTGATAAATTGAAAGTAAAATAAGTTCCAATTCCGTTTACCGGAAATCGCCGAAAGGTTGATATGTAACTACAAATATGATATAATACATATATATGAAATTTCATCAACCTGGCGGTAACGGTTCTCAAGTTATCGTGTTCACAGACAACATACACACACATACACGGACAGAATGGCAAAGCCCAGTTTTTCCGACTGAGTTACGCGTAAAATGCCGACATTTTGATAAATCTGGATTTAGAATTTTTTGCCTATACTCTGTATATGAAGACGTACTAAGTAATAAAGGGGCGTCCATAAATGACGTCACACTCGTAGGGGGGATGGGGGTTCCGTAATTTTGTGACGGTGTGTGATGAGGGGGAGGAGGGGGGTGGGGTTTCAGATCGTGCGACGTCACACTGTTAGAAAACGAATTTTAGACGTTGTTTCGCGTTTTAGAAAACTGTTTTAATAGGACTTAATTAAAATACTCTATTTTGACAGAGTTCAGACAAGATTTTGGAAAAATATCGATGTTTTAAGAAAAATTCAACTACAATTTTGAGTGGGGTTGTAGACTGAGGAGTGACGTCATTTTAGGGGGGGGGGGGGGGGGGTCTGGCTTTTTGTGACGATGTGTGACGGAGGGGAGTGGGCGGGGAGGTAAAAATCGTCCAAAAAAAAGCGCGACGTCATTTATGGAGGTTATAGCCCCCCCCCCCCCCCGAAAAAATTCTACCGCCCCCCCCCCGAACGAAATTAAATTTATATAATTTATATAGAAAAAATATAATTTAACAGTGTCCGCCCCTCCCCCCCCCCCCGAAGAAAGTCTAACGCCCACCCGAAAATGTCACGCCCCCCCGGAGAAAAAAGTCTGGAAGATACACTGCCCCCCCCCACCCCCCGTCCACAAAAATCCACTCATTTCCTTATAAAAATCCATACGCGTCCGCAAAAGTCAATTTTTTCGGAACCCCCCCCCCCCCCGTGTGGACGTCATAAATGGATGACCCCTCAATACTTCGTGTACGAGAAAGTAAAAAAGCAATTTAGATCTAGTAGTAAAAACATGGCAGTAACATAGCATTCACAATTTTGAAATAAAGAAATTATGTGTCATAATTATAATACAAAATGAGATAGAATGAGAATATAATAGATGAATGAGAAATGTTAAATGTCGCAATGAGTCAACTAAATAGGCCTAATTGTTGTTTTAATTTAGTTTGAATATATTTTCAGATATAGAAAGCTTAATTTTATTAGGAAGAGTAGACGAAGCTTTGTTTTTGGAAAAAATTTAATACTGGATGGGTATCCTAAACTAAGATGACTAATTTTACAACAGCAAATTGATATATTTTTTAAAACTTGACACCCCTATATTAATAATAGTCTGTTTCGGATAGTTATCTGGGTTATGACCTTCTACCTTTATGACGTAACGAAAGTCACATGATATGAAACAATTATAAACACTGGCAACTGAGTAACTAGACAATCACTTTTCTTGTCCTACGCTCGCTTAGTTTAGCTAGTGGCCTCAAAGTTAGGACCTTACACAAACATCATGAAGAGACTGGGGATTGGTGCCGTATTTCTCTTCTTTTGTGTAGAAGCAGCTCTGTCGTTCAATCCTTGCCTACCAGGTCAAGTGCACATAGCTTATGGAGGTAAGTAAAGAAAAGTACTAGGAATCTAGAATTAGAATCTAGATCTAATAAATAGTTTATAATAGTAATAATACTAATAGGCCTACTAATTACTAATACTCTAATACTAGATCTACTTTTTATTACTAGTTTTAAGTAGGCCTAAGTTACGTAACTTTTACTTTTTAGTTGACTTTACTAATAAACTAAATAGTAAATTTTACTAAATAGTAGGCCCAGAGCCAGCGTTAGTGGTACATGGGGCCTAGGGCCAACCATCCGTGCGGGCCTTATATTTTTCCATTGGTGTCTAAAACTTGTACAGTGTGGCGTTTTTTTTTTTCTTCTCAACGCGAATTAATATTTATAATGATATAGTAGGGTAATCTATCGTTTTGGCTACGTAAAATCGCCCGCGGCTATTAATGTACGAAAACGTTACCTTATTGTCAAGGCTTTAATAGAAGTATATTGTCACATGTTTGTGTCAAATATTATAGATCAATGAGAATGATTATAGATACCGGTGTCCGATAATGGAATCTTATTTATAAAAGAGGTGTTGGGCGATTTTACGTACCTAAAACGATAGATTACCTGATATATATCTATATATGGTATTTTTAAGCTGCTTATCAATGTCGTATATTAGTTTTATCATAAAGACACTGATTAAAAAATAATTTGTTTACTTAGAAGTGCTTTTGAAACATTGCTTGTTTCTGTTAAAGCTTTTTGCTTGAAAAATAAAAAAAATAAAACAGATATAAGTTCAAGACACGTATTAAAGAGACGATGAGCGTCAGCTTCCTACTTGATTTTTTTACATCAATGTTTATTTATGAAAATCTTACCAGTACATTCACAAATGAAGATCTACTTTTCTTGCCTTTCGCCAGAAAATTCCTTGATTATATCATCATAGTCCTAATTGGAGGCAATGCCTTTTTCTATTGACAGAATCGGCAGGCTGCAGGGCCTGTCTTGGGACATCGTTGTTACATGTTCCCAATTTCCCGGATCGTATATATCTTTTACGATCATTGGGAATGAATTATTTTCATCAGAATCATTTTCAGAATGGCCACTTGTTTTTTCCCTATTGTCGAAGTTCGTGGGGTTTGCAGCTGACAATAAATGACTCGAGGATTCATTATTACCGTCACCACCACAAATGGTAGTAAACTCATTGTAGTCTTTTTTGTTACGTTCTACATTTGCAACATTGGAATTCACAACCAAATCAAAAAGTTTTTGTTGTTTAACGACTTTCTTTGGATAGTGTATGTACTTGTCCAACGCGCCTGCTTGTGTTTTATTAAATTCTTCTCTTAAATTGCGTTTCCTTGCTTTTGATGCACCTGATTCATACTTGCAAAATCTATCTCTGTCTCTTGTAGCCATGGTGTTGAGGAAAAATGGTGAAATCACTTTGAAGCAACGTTAAATCGGTCCACAGTGGCGGGTGATAGTATCGATATTTTTTCAGTTTATTGAGTGTTAACAGTGGCATTCAAAGTGTGTGGATACCGGAGAAAATAGCAAAACATTGATAGATTTCGGAATAAGCTCGAATGTGAAAAACACTGTTTACGGCTATAGATATCTAAATGAAATGACTCTCAAATGTAATCACGGACGCTCATTAGGGTGGAACACTGAGGTGGGTGACAGTTGGTGGGGTGAGGTAAAGGATAACTGTACATTTAAATCTATGGGATGCCAAACCCTAAAAAAAAATCGGTTCGGGTAATATGTTACTGGATCTCTGACCGCAGCCATGCAAGAGAAGGTGCGTGTTTATAGAGCGTCAGCGTATTACATTACAGATTAAGACCGCGTTCTCACAAGAGAAGGTCCGTGTCTATAGAAAGTGAACCATGTGCTTCATGTTATTTATGAGTTTCGCGATGGCATGCTCGGACTGCCGGTAATTTAGACGTTTGAGAAATCAGGAGAACTTTACCATAAAACAGTCTCGGCCCGATATATCAAACAGTATAGACTTAATAATTTGTTTAGTATGCCTACACTATTTTAAAACAAGAATCACTATGGTCTTAACTATTATACTGAATATCCCTACAATTAATTAAAATAAACATGTGCTTAATCACTTTACGAATACCGTTAAAGTTTACCAAAATGAATATGGACATAATTACTATATAAATAACCGTAAAAAATATAAAAATAAATACAAGTATAATGTATTTAAAGATGACCTGAGAATATATAAAATTAATATGAACATAATTACTGTATGGATGCCTATCAAACATATCGTGGTGAATAAGCATAATTACACAAAAGATGCCCATACAGTGTATAAATTATGATTTTAGGGATAAATACTCTGGATGTCCGGGGCATGTCCCCATCCGCTCACTCCCCCCCCCCCCCCCCCTCTGCAAGCCATCATCAGGTCATTGACTGTTTACTACAGGCACCCCCGCTTGCTCACTAAAAAAAACGTCTTCAACGGTCCGCATACAATAGGGTATCTCATTACATGTTTTCTTGATTTTACCTCCCATGTCAGGTCGGGGGCTAATTTGCGACCGCCATCTAAATGTAGGTGATTTGATCTTCTGTAGATCTGCACTTTCTGAAGCCAGCCTGTCCATCTACTGATTGACGAATCGAGAATCCAGGCCAGTCTTTTGTTTACCAACCTTCTCATCAGTTTACTGACGCAGCTGGTTAAGTTTATTGGACAATGGCTATCGACTTTGTTCCTGGGTTTTCCTATCTTGAGAACAGGTTTCATGATTGCTCTTTTCCAACTTACCCAGATTTCCAGCTTTCATTGAATATTTGAAGGTTTTTTTTTTAGCAAGAACATATCATTTGTGATTTTGTCAGGGCCTGGAGCTAGCTTTGGTTTGAGGAGCTTCATTGGTTCTTCAAGCTTCTTCATGCTAATCAGAGCTACCATTCAAGTAAAAGGGGGAGAGACTTTCTGTAATTTCTCTTTAACTTCAGTTTCTTTAACCTCTTCTACTCTTTCGTGGCTGAAGTCATTAATAAATTCTTTAGCTGCTTCCTTTTCTGTTTTGATTGTGTTTTCTATGTCAATGACTGGGAGTAGCTTTGTTTTCTTCTTGGTTTAGCCTTTTTCCAATTCTCCAGAGTTTGTGACCATCCCTATTTACATTGAGGTGTTCCGTTTTTTCATGCCAGCTTTTTCTTACTGCAATTAGATAATTCTTTCTAATTACTCAGTTTGCTGCTTTTAATTTTATGTTATTTTCTACAGTGGAATTATTTTCTACAGTGTTTCTGGCATCAATTATCTTGTTTCTGGAGGTCTGGGAACGGTTTGGGGTATAATTTTTTCTTGCTCCCCTTGGAAAAGATTTTTTTGGCTGCTAGTAAAATTGCTTTGGAGAAGGCAGTGTACGACTTGTTCACCTATTTTGTTTTGCAGTTGCTTGATCTTATGTAGGAGTCTGAGGGTAGAGGAAAGCTCCCAATGTACATTTTTGTAGTTCTATCTAGGGAGGAATAATTTTGATTGGCCTATTTGATGTTTCTATGTGGATGAGGATTGGTCGGTGGTCACTAGTTACTAATTGATTTAAGATTTCTCTTTAACATTTTTTGGATATATCATTTGTAGCAAAAGCTATGTCAGGGGTATATGAGGTTAACCATGATCTTGAGTAAAAAGTTGGTTTGTCATCAGATTTGTTTAGAAAAATAAGCCTATTTTCTGCTTACCTTTTTTCAATTTCATTTCCTTTAGGATTGAATTCAGGGTAACCCCAGCTCGTAAGTAGCTGTTCATGTGGTCCAGTTTCAAGTCCTGATCAGGTGGACAGTAGTAATTGAAGATATTTAGGTATATGCGAGTATGTTTAGTGCCAGTTATCTCAAACGCCGTTGAGTTAGGTATAACAATATCTATTTTTGGTATGTCATTTTTGTTGAGGGCGAGGATACCTCCCTTGGGTCTGTTTTCCCTGCCTTATGCAGGTGTATCCTCTAATATAGAAGCGAAGATTGTTGTTAAGGTGTGTTTCTTGAATGCATGCAACATCTACTTTTTCATTTAGGAATACTTTTAAGGCTTCCTTTTTCTTGTGAACTCCCTCTGCATTCCACTGCAGGATGTTTTGTTGTTTTTTATCACTACATTGGCCAGTAGATTTAACCTTCTGTTCCTTGCCCATGGCTTCACAGGCAAGAATAGAGGAACCACCAGCACTTTTGTGGGCTCCTTTGAGGCGGAGAGTCCGCCGCCTACCTGCTATTGCTTTCCTACATAATATAATTAAGCACTATGTGCCAGCATGTTATGCGTCATAGAATAGCATTGCCCGTTGACTATGATTTCAGCCTGCTTTTCTTTCTGGATTTGCTTCCATAGCCTTTGATCACCCAAGAACAAACTACAAGGCAGCAGCTGATTTTGGAGTTGTCTTTCCTAGATGGGTTAATGTTCCAAGCTGACGAGCCCCATCTGCCTGGGTTTGGAGTTATAGTGCTCCATGCTGGCCGTTGGAGTCAATTTCTTGGATTCATGAGATGTTTTGGAGTGAACATCCTAAAACCAATGGATATTACATCTCATCCTTCATGACCACAAACCAGTTGGTCCTTGGCTGTTTATTTGGTATTCATAGCAAACCCTTATATCTAAGGGCCTTTCCCAAATCCGCCACCTGGCGACTTTCTTGGTAGGAGATGGTAGCTCCACCAAGATCGTAGGCCTAATATAGGCAATATAGGAGGCTAATAATATTACAGTTTTACACACTACTTAGGCCTACTATATAGATCTTTTTCGTATTATTACTTAAATAGATAAATGGTCCGTTGAGGGATAAATACAACGGGTGCTAGGTTCATAATGTTGTCTTTTTCTCTAAACTGAAACAAAAATCCCCATCTCAACCTCAAATTTAACTGGAAACAAAAAATGTAATTGAAAACAGATTTTTGTCCAGAATGGGTCTAGCTGACCTAGAAATTTTACCAGTTGGATACAGCAAGTTAGGCACAAACAGAAATTTAACAGGATACTAAATTTCATTGAAACTTAATCCAGAATCGCTGGATCCTTAAAATTAGCCGGATACAGAAATTCGGGCAGAAATGGGAGGAATTTCATTGAAAAGTATTTTTATCCAGAATTGGTATTTATCAGTATCTGGAAATTTTACTGGATCTATATTTAACAGTGTGGTTAACTATTAGCCAAAAAGACAAACAGAACATAATTTGGACTTAGATCCACAGTGAAAACACATCTTGTTTAAATGCCATGATATACAAATATTATGTGAAGGTTTGTTATGAACTCAGGCTGGTCCGCAATTTATAACAGGTAGGGCATAATGAAAGGAGGTGAACAGGGAAAATTCCTTAATGTCATTGATGGAGAACTGCTATGTTCAATCAAAATAATGACAATTAAGAATTAGTGTATGTATAACATGTTCAGAACGAATGATTATTACTATATGTCAAGCTATATATATATATATATATATATATATATATATATATATATATATATATATATATATATATATATATATATATGTATGTATGTATGTATGTATGTATGTATAGGTAATGATTCAGCTGTGTGGAGTGAGGTCCTGGGACATAGGCAACATCAGGTTCTTCTCAACACGCTGCCCAGGCCTAGATTTCCGAGGCGCTATTTTTAATTGTCTGTTTGATTATGTTAACAACCGGTATTGACAAAATTACCACAAAAAATGGCCCTGACAAATCAAATTTTGAGGGTAAATGATATTGGTAATATTTAATTTAAGAACTTTTGATGTGGACTGAGCTATTTACTTACTCTATACCAGATGGTTCTCAAGTAAATAACAGTAGGCTATTTGTCATGGGATGGCATCTTGGAGATGACACGAGTATAAATATGTTGCCTGTTATTGTCACACACCACTTGTAGAAGTTCCATGCTGCTTATTGAGGATGCAGTTTAAATCACAATCCTGATCCATTAGACAATTATACCAATGGAATAGCAACTATTCTTGCTACTTGTGACTGCCTTAGTTAATCATTCCTTCATATTATAACTGAAACTATTTATTTTGATGTTTACACAGATGATGTGTCAAAAATGATAATTTCTTGGAGTACTGTCAATGACAGCGATTCCATTGTGCAGTATGGATTATCCGTGAAAGCCCTGACATTGTCACAGCAAGGTAGCAGCACAAAGTTTGTGGATGGTGGATCTGAAAAAAGAGTTCAGTATATCCATAGAGTGGATTTAAAAGATTTGTTGCCTAACACAATATACTGTAAGTATACGTTATTGGATTTTTAAATTTAAATTTTACTGGGAACAAGAGAGTAAGCCTTGTATTTTAATATTTCCTGTCTCTCTTGAGAATTATTTCATTTTACTATCTGCAAGTTGCACCACACATCTAAAAATTTACTGATCCTACCTATACCACAAAATTGTTGATCTCTATCTTTGACTGATAAATAAACATCAGCCACAACGTCATTTGTCAATTACTAAGACTTAAAAAATAAGCTTCTTGTGATGCTTATTCATATGACAAATTAAGCCAAATATTATTTTTAATTAAATTATATCCTAATTTAACTTATTCTATTGCTAAGAAACAAAGATCTTTATGAAATAGTTCATAAAAGAAATTTATTTTGTTCATTTTTATAATTTTAGTTTTTGGCCTATATCTACTTTTTCTTCAACAAACGAAGCTCAGATTCTAGTTTAGTGGAAGATACATTCTTTGATATAAATTCTAGAATTAGAAGATTGCCCTTTTGAATAATAACAATATTGTTGGAACCTAATAGAAATACAAACATATCATTAAAGCCATAGCCAACAGAAAATAAAGCTACATAATGTTTAAAATGTTCAACTCCGATAAACATAGATAAGCTGCTATTTCTGAAATGTAGATTCTAGTTTAAGGGTAAATAAATTCATTATACATTTATTCTTGAATTAGAATTGTCAAGCATACTTTATTGAAAATTTATAATATTGTTGGAACCTAATATAAATAACAAATGCATTTTTCAATAAAATGTAGCAGAAAGATGCAAAAAACTTTTCAATCAGCAACAATCTTTTTCCATAGAATGCCATTTGCCTTGTTTGCATCATTTAATTTGAATACTGCTCTGAATACCTTATCTAAATTAAATGTACCTTATACATTCTTTTTAAAAAGATTAATCTACAAATGTGTAAACGTTGGCCACATATTCTATTCACAATCCCAGGCCACTTATTCCACTATCTCTACCTGACAAAGTGATTATTTAATTTTTAAAAATATTTGTATTTCAAATGACCATAAAGAAAAAACTCAGTGAAAGAATGAACCTTGTTGCACATTTCTGCAATCTCAGAAGAAATCTCAGACACTTGTAGATTTGTGAGATTGAAGTACTTTAATTTTTTACAGATTATATAGTTGGCAGTCAGCTTGGTTGGTCAGCAACTTTCCATTTTAAGACCATGCCAGCAGGTGAAGACTGGGCTCCGAGCCTTGCCATATTTGGTGATCTTGGAAGCTCAAATGCTCAGTCTCTTCCTCGCTTAGTTATGGATACATCCCAAGGATTGTATGATGCAATAATTCATGTTGGTAAGATAAAATGCAGCTCGAAGCATAGTATTACAACTTAAATTTGATTTTTATACTTTTATTTACTCAATTAAATTGAAGCCCTTTTGATCTTAAATGTAAAGCATTTATGTTGAGTGTATCTTAACTTTATTATATTTCACACATTTCTCCAGGTGATTTTGCTTATGATCTTGCTAGTGTGAGTACCAAGTTTTCAATAAATAAATTATTCAGACTAGTAGCAAAGCTACAAATAAAACTTAAATTGGTAAATGTTTGTTGGGTGCAACTTTTTAAATTTAATTATGAATTATTTTAATAGGCATTTAAAACCCCCTAAAGGGTCTGCCCTCCAACCACCCCCAGTTACAAGGTTTGTTACTGTGGTCCTTGTTGCTGCTTATAAACCAAAGAAATTCACTTATTTTATCTTTTAATACAGAATAATGGCAGAGTAGGGGACACATTCATGGATCAAATAGAGCCACTAGCATCAAGTGTTCCTTATATGACCTGCGTTGGGAATCATGAGAATGCCTAGTGAGTCAAAAATTCAGTAAAAATCTAATTCTATATACTGTTAAAACATCTGGATTTTTATAGAATCTACATGGATATATCTATTTTAGACTTAAGATTAGAATATCTACAGTCAGTGAGATGAGCAGGATCTTGTTAAAGGGATTGATGGGGGAGGTAGAGAGGGTTATTATATTGGGGGTTTGGCATCAAAGATCAGGGTTTGAGTGATGATGAGGGGAGGATGGAGGTTGTATGGGCAATACCTTAAGTACTATCCTGGTTAAGGAAATGTGATTCAGTGTGGAAATTTTCATTTGCTTAATATATGCTTTTTTGTTAAATTCCTGAGGTCTAGAGTAGGCTTACTTTAAAAAAAAAATTTAATTGCTAATTATTTATAGTTATTTAAGTGTAATATTGTTACATTTCTTTTTTTATTTTTCAGCAACTTCTCCAACTACAGATATATTTTCAATATGCCAAATGACAACAAGAAAATGTATTACAGGTATTAAATGTATAACATTTACAATGTTGTATCAGTATAGACTTCTTTTACATTAACTTAACAGGAGTTACCTCATGCAAACTTAATGAATTGTTTTCTGAATTTTTTGTTGTCATACTCATAGATGTTAAATATATTTAAACTGTTATAAATTAAATCCACATGGTTTTATTTCCACGTACAGGTATTTTCTTTTTAAACTCATATCCTGAAATGTTCTAGTATGTTGAGTTTTCAAATATTAGTCTTAATTTGTATTTTTTTTTTAAATTGTCAGTTTCAACATGGGTCCAGTGCACTTTGTGTCAGTGTCAACTGAATTTTTTTATTTTCCTTATGATGGAGTTCAGCAGATATTTGACCAGTATGACTGGCTAGTGAATGACTTAAAAGTAACATACCATTTAACTTTGATTAGCCTATTCATTTTTGGTTAAATTATTTTTAGTTCATTATAAAATAGTATTCATTTGATCTGTGATAGAATTATTTTCTGCATCTGATTTTATCATTACAAATTTTAAAATGTATGTTTTGTAATTGTTTGCATTTATTTTTTAGCATTAAATTTTAATTTAAGTATATTTATTTTTGAATTCTGAATGAAATGATAGTGTAACAATTTTTAGGAAGCCAACAAACCAGAAAACAGAATAAAGAGACCATGGATCATAGCATTCGGTCACCGTCCAATGTATTGCTCTAACAATGATAATGATGACTGTACTAGTCATGAAAGCTTGGTAAATAAAATTTAATTATTTAGTATCCTTTTACACAACCATTTCCTTGCATTATTTAGAGGCTAGAAACAAGCCCTGTTAATTTATTTATTTAATTACTTTATTTCTGACAAAGAGCCTTGTTTGATACTCATTTTTGTGTAATTTTTGAATCATGTAGGTTCGTGTTGGTGTTCCAAAACTGAAGATTAAAGGATTTGAAGATATATTCCATGAAACAGGTGTCGATGTGGCAATCTGGGCACATGAACATTCTTATGAAAGACTTTGGCCAATGTATAATTTTAAGGTATGTGTAATAATGGTGTATTGAGTGAAAATCATATTGAATAAATGTAATTAATGGATTGATGATCCACCATAATGTAAAATGGTACTTTGCCAAACTTACCCTGTTCAACACATGACTTTGTATAAAAAATTGCATTTAAGCTTGCCTACAATCTATGGTTCTGTCTACGGTTCTGAGATGAGGAGAAAAACACAAATAGTAAACTTCAGACTTTCATTTATGAATGCCTGTGTAGAACATTAAACATCAGGTAGCCTAAAAAAATTAACAATACTGAAGCGCTAAAAGGGATGGATTGGACATGCCTTTCGTAAACCAAATATATACATATATATATAGATATATGTATATATATGTGTATATATATATACATATAGCTATATATATATATATATACATATAGCTATATATATATATATATATATATACATATAGCTATATATATATATATATACATATAGCTATATATATATATATATACATACATATAGCTATATATATATACATACATATAGCTATATATATATGTATATATATATACATATAGCTATATATATGTATATATATATGTATATATATGTATATATATGTACATGTATATATATGTACATGTATATATATGTACATATATATGTACATATATATGTATATATATATATGTATATATATATGTATATTTATACGTATATATGTGTATGTATATATGTGTGTGTGTGTGTATATATATACATATAGCTATATATATGTATATATATATGTATATATATGTATATATATATGTATATATATGTATATATATGTATGTATATGTATATATATGTATATATATATGTATATATGTGTATATATATGTATACGTATATATGTGTATGTATATGTGTATATATATATATTTATATATGAGAAACCAAAAATGTAACACTGATGTCCTCTACCTTTTTATTGTGGTAGTAACAACAAAAAAACCAACCAAAAAAACCCAACAGACCTCCAAAGTCAGTAAAGAAATCAACAATAAATGAAGGTTAATCATTACATTTATCAGCTAGTCATTCACTCCAATAACCTATAAACGTAACAACGCACATTCACACTCAACATTCCCAATTTATCAACTAACAACATATATCCATACACAACATTCACAACTCATACACAATATTCACAATGTATCAACTAACAATGACAGCTAAGCACAATCTTATTCATCCCTAAGTCCGGTCTATTACCCAGGAAACACGTCTATTCTAGTTCTTCCTAAACTATTCTGGATTTATGCTTTGTACCATTACGAGTTTAGTCTATCGTCTTGCAAGTGCTTTCTGCTCGTACTGTCCGGTCGTGTTTTGTGGGGTCCGTATATATTGGCTACCCCTGGAGTCTTAGAATATTCATGATGTCGATAGGTCATGTCCTAGCTGTTAAAATACCATTCTGTCCTCCCCGCACATCACTCTCAATCTCATCCTGTGCGATGTAAATTATCTGTTGATGCTACTCACTGCCCCTCCCCCCCCCCCCCTTGATCAAACCCTGGTCAGTTCCAGATACTTTATGGGTGATGGCTGGTGGTTCGCTATTAAATGCTGCAGGTGTCAAGATCTAATCGGTGTCTGACCAGCGTTTCCGGTATAATTTATAGTGCTAGCCATCTTAGCACAGCAAGTACAGTCACTCTGACCATGCCCTGGTACAAGTGATGTCAGTCAAGACCGTGGGTGGTTGTGATTTTCCTCACCCCTCAGTCAAGTCCGTGGGTGGTTGTGATTTTCCTCACCCCTAAGATAGCAGATTTACTATTGTCATATATACCCCTAGTTACATATATATTAAAAAAAATTACAGTTGTGAAATGCTTAAAATTAATTAGTTTATGTTAAAATTGAAGTTTGTTTAAAATTAGGGTTCTGTAAAGAGGTGCTGTTAATTTGAAAGGGGGTTAAAGTTAATAGGGCGGTCCATTATTGGAATCACATTCTTGAAAGTTATTGAGGTCAATTTTCTGATGATCTGTGTAAAGTGGAAATTAGAACGTTAAATTCCCACTCCCCCACTCCATTCATTCATGGTCAATTACCTCCCATGCATTACTATCCTTTTGTATGATTAACATGAAGATTAGGCAAGTTGATGAGAATACTCCTGCAAAGATCTCTGAAAATGAAAATTCAATTTCAGCCCTCAAGGGGTCACAAGGACTCCATAATAATAATAAGGAATAATATTGAATTTTGAATAATCAGAGGAATTAAACATGCTAAGATTATTTTGCAGAAAAAAGTAATTTGGTTGTTTCCCTTTGTCCATAAAAAATTCTATTACAAAAAAAAAAATCAAGACCAGTTTAAAAATAATGATTAGACATAATAAATAATAATGTTGAGTTTCTTCAGACACATTACACTTCTAAAAATAGTGATTAGTCTATCTATACATATAAAAATGAAAGTATGTCTGTATGTTTGTTTTTTATGCAGTTCTATACCTTTGGGAAATTTTTACAAATACTTCTTGGAGGTTTCTACACAAAAAAAATAATTACATTTTGAAAGAGTGGTGCCCCTTTTGGGTGCAATTTGGTATCCCGGGCACCCCCTTGAGCCCTATGGCACCTACACTAATTTGAAACCGCCTGTTTCAGCTTAGTAAACAACTATAGTACCCCAACTTATTCATAGTCTTTTGCACTCACTTAAACGAACATAGGCACCATAGCGAACACAAGAAGGCCCAGGGCGCCAAATAGCACTCTGTCGGGACGCTGGAGGACGCCCGGTTTTGATTCACTTAAAGACTATAGTAACCTTTCTTATCCAAAGTCTATTGCATTGTTTAAAACAAAAAAATTATGCACCACAACGCTCACAGAGTAGTCCAGGACGCCAAATCGAACCCTGCCAGGGCAAGCTTATCTGCAAACAGAAAGAAGTAAACATAGAGGACATTTAGGAGCTGGCTTCTTAACTGTTTTGATTTTAAAAATAATTAGTAAACAGTACATTCAGTGTATAAAATAAGTAAAACGCAGTATTTAAAATACCTACCACATTGCACTTGATCAATCCCCGCTAATTATGTAATTTTTTTCTCAACACCAAAACAAAGTAATAAAAAGTAATTCCTAATTTATCAAGGGATGAAAGCAGTGCTAAAGAACTAAATGTAAATAATTTTCAGACACAATTAGAATTTTTGTGAATGGTGATAAATTTTTAAAAAATTGTTTGATTGATATGCCGACAATTATCACAAGTTTGATAAATGAAAATTGTTTTACAACACCTTCAATATTAATTTTTTACATCTTGAATTTAGACAATGAGCACTTTAGATGTTGGACACTATGGTGATGAAGTCTATTAAATTATTTTATTCCTTTGTAGTAATTGTAGTCACGGATTTGCTGTCCGCTACATACTCACATACAGAATTGAACTTTATATATTAGATATAGATATATATATATATATATATATATTACAATGTACCTAATAGCAATAACTAACCCAACATTTCTACATCAATTTATTTAAACTATTCAGTTAAAATAGCTAATAAACCATCAACCAATCCTGTTACAGTAACTCTTATTAGTTTTTTATTTTAGTGTGACATTTTTTAAATATTGTTTTTGTATCTCAGTTGTTTCTTAATTTAATGAGATTGTTGCAGTACAAATTCAGTTTGAGAAAACACTAAGACTAATAATAATAAAACCCATAAATAATATATGGGGATGGGGCCTAGTGTTAGTGTATTTTATTTAATTGGTGGATTCTGAATATAAGACTAGTACCCAAAATGAACATAGAAACTTTCAAACAGAAAAGCAATTGATACAATTTTTCATTTTGGCTGAAAAAAAAATTAACATTTCAGGTAATGAATGGCAGCTATGATCACCCCTACACCAACCCAGGGGCTGTTACTCAAATCATTACTGGATCTGCTGTAAGTTTTGTAACTAAGAAGTTTATTTTGATGGAATATACTTTTACTAATGAGTTATGGTGCATTTAATTTTTAATTCAATATTTGCTATCCCTTCAAAAGTTTTGAACTGACTCTTTTAACAACAAAATTCTTTTAAATTTTTTTTGAGTACATCAGCTCTTTTACCATTTAGCAAGCTTTTCAAATTATCCTCAATATTTTTAGATATACAAATATATACCATACCATTATTTTTATCAGGGCTGCAGTGAGCGCCATGAATACTTTGTAAAAAATCCACCAGCATGGTCTGCTGTCCGCAATAGTGATTATGGGTTCACCCGCATGAAGGTCTTTAACAAAACTCACATTTATTTTGAGCAGATTTCGGATGACATGGTAAGTATTTTTAAAGAAAGTTTATTTTTTTTAATTAATAACCTTTTGAGCTAAATTCCTAGTTTTAGTTTTTATAATTTTCTCTATTTGCTAGCAAATTATAAACTGTGATAAAAAAAATAGGTAAAGGGCATGCGCACTAATGCTAAGATATCTATAAAAGAATTTTGTGAAATTATTCACTGGCATATTTAAATGCTGATATCATATATCAGTAATTTAAGATAAAGTTTATCAAAAAAAAAACATCTAGGTCAACTTCAGATAAATGAACACTAAGTGGCTTGTTTATTGACCTCATTTTAAAATTGAAAGTAATTTATGTATGCATTATGCCAACATCATAATTTATTCATGTGTTTATAAATTTTGTTACACACCAGACACAAATTTCCAAAGCACTAACCATTAATTACTTATCTCCTTTATAAAATTATTTTAAAAATATAGTTACAATAAAATGAGTCAAATTTTAATTGAACGCCCTAGGTATTACCTATCTAGCTTTAAAAAAAATAAGGTATTTGTAAATAGGTATAATCTAGTGTGCAAATCAACGTGTCACTTACATTTACAGAGAAGAATTTATTCTCATTTTCAAGCAAAATCACTTAACAATAGACATTCAATGAACCACTTTGAGATGTCATATGTTAATGACATCTACAGAAGGGGGGGGGGGTCAGAAATATTAATGGGTATGTTGGCTATCTCTATAATTTAAGCTGCCAGGCTTACAGCAACTTTGTTTATGCCTGCGTTGGTGCACGCATTTTATTGGGAAGATAGATAGGCTGTCTTTGGGCGGATGCACATTTTCTCAACTTTTGATTTTTTGCGCTGTCCAACAGCATGCTTACAATTTGATTTAAATTTAATACCAACTACAAATTTTTTCAGAATGGCAAAATTGTAGACCAGTTTACGCTCATCAAAACATCACATGGCTCTTATCTGAAAGACAATCAATAAACATTTTATGTTTGTTTTCTAGTCTTTCATTTGTTTTAAGCATGATTTTCATTATAAAGTGTAATTTGTTATAAAATAAAAACAAGTCTTGTATAAAACAAACATTCCATTTTGTACCTTTTAATATTATTTGCATAGCAATTGAAGAAGTTAATATGAAATTTTTTAATTATTTCAATTTTCAATAAACACCTTTAAGACTTTTCAAACCTTTGTGTTTTTCATTGATGTAGAAATACAGATTTTGTTTATTAAAAGTTCAATCTTGATACAGCCATATATAACTGGCAGCTTATCTGGTCTTTAGTTGATTTACATTGAATGCATAGCCAGGAACTTACATACAGAATGTGTCACTCCTACATACTTGTGCAATAAAAATTTAAATAAAAAAAATTATATATGAACACTAAAGAGACACTTCTGCAATCAACAAGTGATTACTGCATTTTTTTATTTTTAAAGCACCACAAATTTATTTATTATTACAGAATTTTATAATCTTTAAATTTTAATGACTCATGTGTCTAATTGAATGAAAAATGAGAGATTCCTGCATTTTACCAGATACTAATGGTATCTGGAAAGTTCAAAAAAGGAAATTGCTATATTAGAAGTGGGTTACCAGATTTGCCAAACAGAAAATGGTAAACTAAATAAAAGCTTACAAATTCAGGTGTAATAAACATACTCAACTTCAAGTAGCAAAGAAAAATTTCTTAAGAAAGTAACTTTTAAAAATATCAAAAGTAAAAAAGATATTCTTTAGGCCCTGGTGGTCGATAGGATAGATGAAGTAGAGGTCATCTGTTTCAGTGACCTTGGCTAATGAAGGAATAATATGGTCTGTTGTTTACCCAGCCATTAACCTAATTAAGTTAGATCCTTACCACAGCATATCATAGCATACATTTCTATTTTAAGTTCAATGAAAACTATGGGAAAAAAATTCATCAAGTAGAAAAATGCAACCAAGCAATAAAATAAAATGGACAGGAAAGAGAAATTCTTTTAAAAAAATTGGCCAGATGACAATAAATGACTGTAATTTAGAGATTAGCTTTAAGGCTAGATTAAGGGTTGTGAGTTTCTTTGTTTAAATTATATCCAGTTTTGATCAGAGAATTAGGTAGATCCCGAGCTCTTTTCATGCCAGATTTATCAAAGGACCCATGCCAGTTCTTGATTATAGTAAATTTATCAATAACTTGGCCATCCTGAAAAGATATGAGAGAATTTTTTTAATAACACTTCCCAACTTTTTTCAACCTTGAATAAACACTAAATATTATTAGTTTAATAAGTATATAATGGATAATAGTATATTTAATCTTTATATTGTTCAAGATATATGGACAAATTCATACATAAAATCTTAAAATCCTGAATTCTTAAAAGAGCAACATAAAAAAAAGCCTTAAGACAGCTTATGAAAATTGGTTTGGCTTGCCTACTTAAATATAGATTTTGAAATTCCCTACCTCACTTTGTATTTAGCTTTAATATTAAACAATTATTTCTGCAAAGAAATAAGTCTTAATAACTGAAACTTTATTGGCAGACTTCCATTTGCAACTATCTGAGATGTTTAAAAAAAAAGGCTAATAAAAAAAAAAAAAAAAAAGCTTAAAAACAATTGTACTATATTTACCTTTATGTCTGACACCTGCTCAAGATACATATGAGTTTTATTGAGGACGTGCATTCTTGTGTAGCCATAATCCATGCTGTGGAAGGCAGACCACTCTGGTGGTGTAGGCACAAATCCAGACACATTTTCCCGGCATCCCTAGTTCCAAATTATACTCTTAAATAAGCTTAGAGATTTTAAAGAAATTTAGCTTTTACTTTTAATTATCAGGTGAAACGCAATGACAAGTCTGTTACCGCTGATCCTGTAATTATATGAATTGGAGCCTTTGCATCTGTGTAGGGATGGTCATAACTACCATTCATAACCTGTGTATCATAGTTATATGCTCTATGAGTTACAAAAGTTTATATTCAATTATATATAATTAAATATTCAGTTTATATTATTTTATCTGCAGTAAAAACATTCTATTTTTTTAAATGCTAATATTCAACAAAACATTTTTACAAGCATTTTCTTATGTTGCAATATACGTCTGTCAGTCTGTGGTCATTGTAACTAAATAATGGTTAATTTATGTTGAATCATTATCTTTTAAACTTTTATAATCAGGAAATCTATAAACACATTTTAGTTAGTTCCTGGCATTTGTAATATAATTTATAAGTTATGGTTTAATTTTAAAGTTTCAAATGGGCAAATGAATAAAACAAAAAATAAATAATTTAAAATATTAAAATGCAAAAAAAAAATGCTTACCTTTCTGTCATATATAGGCCATAAACGCTCATAGGAATGTTCATGAGCCCATATGGCCAGGTCTACACCATTGTCATATAAAACATCTTCAAGTCCAAATATATGTAATCCTGGTACTCCTTTTCTGGTCTACAAATCCAAATAAAATAATCATATCATATTTCTACTTCTAGCTGTATCTCAAAGAAAAATAAATTTTTATGTTAACAAAATTTCTTTTACAAAGTACTAAAACTTTAAGCAAAATATTAGCATCAACCTGATCTTTATTAAAATTTGTAATTATGGTAATAAAAACACCAAGTAAAACAAAAATTAGCCTGAGATTAAAAGAAACTCACATTAAAATAAATAAGATAATTACAAATCATTAAGCTTAACCATAGCCTTTTCTTCTGTTTTGAGATTAACATAAAGTCATATATGTTGATCCAAGATAAATTATACAACATGCATTTGGTGTAAAAATAGATCATTAAATCAGACTAGTTATTAAGATACATTAAAATACATTTTCAAGTTATTGAGTTACCACTGTGTATTCTGTAAGACATATTTACTCTTGGCAATTTGAAAAAACATAAAACCTAAATGATTCAGAGCATTTTTTTTTAATTTCAAGTTATAGAGAAGGGAAAAAAAACTCACAATACTTTCAAATTTGGTACAGTCATCTGTGTCATCACTAGAGCAATACATTGGTCTATGACCAAACACAACTATCCAAGGTTGCTTGGCTCTATTCTCAGGCAAATTTGCGTTCTGTAATGTAACTAATAATTTTCATTTGAACAATTGCCTTTCCAATTAACACTTTTATTTATAGAAACATGCAAGGCATAAGCAAGCAGATGATTGCACTCATTAAAAACAAAAACAATAGAAATAGAAAGGCCAAATACCCTTGATTTCCAGTTGCATTTTCTAAATCTACCCAACCTCAAAATTAAATTTCTACTTTTATACAATGAAAAATGACTACATCTGCACCTAATTTCACATTAATTCTGTCTAAAACTAATCTATAAAGGGAATAAGTACTTTATAACAACTTTATGCCAAATATTTCTAACAGATATGGTTAAACTATAAAGATTTATTACAATTTTGAGCTTTATCTTTTCCCTTAATATTCTTCATCCCAAATAACTGATTTTGGATTTACCTCAAGATCCTTCTTCAGCCATTCATACTGGTAAAAAACTTGCATTGGTCCATAGTACCAGAAAAATATGAGCTCAGTAGAAATAGACACAAAGTGGACAGGTCCCATGTTGAAGCTAAATAAAAATTCCCAATATAATTCTAAAATTAAAATAATTTATATTGATACAAATCATTTGATTTAATCTTAATCTTATTTGATTTACATATTTTGTAATGGTGTAAATTAAAATAAGGGGTCATCCAATTATGATGCCCATTGGAGCGGTGAAGGTTTAAAAAAAAATCAACTTTTGTGGACTCATAAAGTGCACTCATTTTGAAATAGACATAAACATCTTATCTTGTATTTAAAATGTAAATTTAAGAAGGCAGTGCTTGTGTTAAAAAACAATTCAGCAGCTAAATACATCACAGCATTAATACCAACAATGGGGGTATGCATTCTATAAATAGTGTCTTGATTTTTACCTTCTTCCCCCACCTTCTCCTCAGAGTCAAACATCGTAACTAAAAGCCAGAACCCAACCTCTAAAACAATGTTTTAAACAGTAATTTTTTTCTTAAATATTTACTGAGATCATTCAACATTGAATATATTAATCAACTTGGTTGCAATTTACAAGAGAAGTCTTTTAACCACATTAAACAGACTTAATTCACTATATTTTGTGGATACCATAAATGGATGACCAATAAACAGCAAATTTTTATTTTTACTTATAGCCTAAAACAAAATAAATAAAATAAAATCATTTTCAGGGTGCATAGACAGTTACCTGTAATACATTTTTCCATCATCTCCAGGCATATTAAACCTGTTTCTGTAGTGAGAAAAATTGCTGTATAGAAAAAAGATCAGGAAATTTAAAATTGCACTTTTTCTGCTGAAGTCTTGATTAATTTAAACAATTGAATACCTTTCACATTACTGGTTGCGATTTGTAATATTGAAGGGAGAATAACTGCTGGATTTTAAATATGTTTTCCTACTACAGTTTTATCTTTAATAAACGGTAGAAAAAAATTGTATTACTTTATTTTTTATTAACATGTTATTAGAAGCATTAAGCTACTCTTTTGTTCATTCTGATGATGTTCAAAACATCACTTGTATACCTCTTTCAGAGACTTTGTTTTCCAGAAATCTTCACTGTTTGATTATTTATAAATAATTATATTTTTACAAACAAGAATTAGACATACTAAGCTTCCTCGTGATTTCCTGGACATGTCATGTAGGGTACTCTTGTGGCTAATGGCTGTATCTGTCTCATAAATTCATCTCCCACAGTACCTTGAATCTGATTTTAAATAAATGAAAAATAAATTTCTAGTCATGGATTCTTATTCTTTTTAAAGTTGCATCTAGACTATATATTAGTTATAAATTAGTGTAATAATAATAGCAAAAACACATTTTTCTTTCATTTATGCATGAGAAGATTTACATTTAAAAGTTAAAAATTAAAGTTGAAAACAATGTTTGAGAGTACATATTCTAGAAAACAAAAAAGCAGATTTATAATAAATAGAAATCTTTTTATTGTACTTACATCATTAAAGTCATATGCAAAATCACCTAAAAAAAGATCAAGTCTAGAATTTATAAATAGTAAATTCACTGTTCTAATCAGTCATTTAACCCTAACATATTTAAGAGTCTCTTATGGACATCTGGTAAATGTAGGGAAAAAAATATTTATATTGTAAGCCTAATACTAAAATAAACAAAAAAAAAACAATTTAAAATGACACTATTGTATATGAAGGACACTAACCAACATGAAGAATGGCATCATATACACCACTATATGCTTCAAGCTCAAGTCTTGCCAATGACCTAGCATTAACATTGCCCATGTCACCATAAATAGCCAAACGTGGACTCCAGTCTTGGCCATCTTCCATTGCTTCAAAAATATATTTGTCAGAGAACTCAAACTCATTGCCAACAACATAAGCTGTAAACCAGAAAAGACAATTTTTGTATGCAGGTCTGAATTATGTTGAAATATGATTTATGTCATTAATTTTAAAAGCTGTGGAATATTTAGAGGTCAGTTCCTAACTTACAACATAAGTAAACCAAAAATATTTTATTTTTAACCCTTACACTGGCACCATGAGTTCATCGCATTATTTTGCAGAAACCTTCTATGGAGTTTTTTAATTAGCTCCCCAAAGTTTCATCGCACTTGGATGAACAGTGTTAAACTGCATCAGGGTTTTATTTTATTATATACAGTTTATATAGAAGAATTGCACCCTCCTGGGTCACCGCCCTTGTGAAATTTAAAAAAATATTTTCAGCAGAAACTCTTCCATGAGTATTCTCAACAATTTCATGAAGTTTCATGGCGATCAGATGTAAGGTGTAGTACTGCATAAAAGACATACACACACTTTCATTTTTTATTTTTAGATGATGTGACACAGATGCTTATCATTTTTAAATTTTAACAAATTTGGGTAATGAACAGATTTAGGGGTCATCCATTTATGACGTCCATGCTGTGGGGTGGGAGGGGTAATAAATCAACTTTGTGGACAAGTGTGGACTGGGGATTTCAATTTAAAGCAAACATAAAACTCGTATCCTGCATGTAAAAAGTGAAATTTAGACGAAATTGCTTGTGTTTAAAAAAAACCCATTGCAACATGTACATAAAGCACTGGATTAATACCTACACTGGGTTCATCCATATCATAAATGACGTTATGAATTTTAGTTATTTTTACCTCCCTTCCCGACATCAATAAGCTTCACTAAAATCTAGGACCCAACACCTAAAGTGACATCTCACCTTAAATTAACTGTAATTTTAAAAAAAAAACCATTTGCTGAGCATGTTCAACATTGAGTAGGCCTCGATTGATTTTGATTGAAATTTTAAAAATTAACTGAATGAAGCAAATGCTTAAAATTGGTTTCTAACTTTACTGCAAAAGTGTGTCATCACACTTTCGGAAATCCTCCTTTAGCCCCTCTGGAGTGTACCCTTATTTATGGACGAACCCTAATTAAAAAATGGTGAATAGAAAAAAGTCAGTTTTTGTTGGAAAAAAGGTTAAAAAAACAAAGTCACAGAAAAAGGTCACAAAAATCTTCTAAGAAATATTTTTAATTAATTGTTGGGAATTGTAAAATTTTGGTTGTTTATTAATGTGGGCAGTGATTTTTGTAGCATATTTATAAACTTTAAAAAACCTTTTTGTTTACAATAATAAGTAAAATTACTATAACATAAGTTACACAGCAACCTCAACTTTTGTAATGCATTTAGTTAAATGGTAGAAAAATTAATTATAAAAGAAATTTAGGCATATCATTGTGTTTTGCATGTTTTTTGCTGAACGACTTTCCTTGCTCAGCTTCTCCTTAGTTGCCACTGTCTATCCATAATGTGTGTTGTTCACATTATGTGTCAATGACAGCCTATATAACCGTGTTGGCTTTCTGTTTTGACCCTATGGTTTGTTATGTAATGAGCATGCTAAATATGGAGAGTACATGTGGTTGAATTATTGTTGCAATGTTATGAGGACAGCTAGTAATAACAACTATGTCTAAAGTAATTTTAAGCTAAACTAAAGTTACTATTTAAATAAACCGGTAGTGATCTCCCCTAAACTTTCTCAAATATTCTAATATAACACTACGTGGGATGGCAACGTGGAATATAGACATGATTTTTGTTTACTTAAACTTTTCAAAATAGAATAGAATCTAGTAGAAAAAAGAATTGCGCACCAAGCGAACGCCAAAACAAAATGTGCATAATAGTGTGCAATATTATTAGTACTTTATAAATTTACATGCGTTTTTTGAGAAATCGGAAATAGCGTAAATTAGTATTTACTTACATTTGAAATTTCATTTTTTTTCTTATTTTCATCTATCTGAAATAGTACTCAAGTTATAGGCTTTTGAAAAATTCAAAGTAGAAAAAGTACCACTTCCGGTTATCGGAAATCGCTCAAAAGTTGATACGGATCTACGATTTTGATGAAATGCTTATATATAAAATTTCATCAACCTAGCTGTAACGGTACTCAAGTTATTGTGTTTACACACACACAGACAGACACACACACAGACATACGGAAAAGATTCTTACTTTTTCGTTTTCGTTTGTGTTTTTTTCTTTGGGTTTGTGTTTGTATTTGCGTTTGTGGTTAGTTTTGTGTTTTCGTTTGTGTTTGTGGTTGGGTTTGTGTTATCATTAGTATTTTTGTTTGCGTTTATGTTATGTTTGCTTTTTTTGTGTTTTGGTTGTGGTTTGGGTGGGCAATGTTGGGTATATGCTGATTAATAAACACACATGTCATGTTCCTTTACAGATAGGTTTTAGAAAGCTCTTTTATAGACACTTGCACCAAACTACAAGAAGATATACAATTTTATATAATACTAGCCTTCCCGGTTTGTGTTGTGTTGTGTTTGTGTTGTGTTTGTGTTGTGTTTGTGTCGTGTTTGTGTTGTGTTTGTGTTGTGTTTGTGTTGTGGTTCTGTTGTGTTTATGTTGTGTTTGTGTTGCGTTTGTTTGTGTTATGTTTGCGGTTCTTTTTTTTGTGTGTTTTGGTTTTGGTTGATTGTGGTTAGGGTGGGCAATGCCGGGTATATGCTGATTATGAAACACACATGCCATGGTCATTTACAGATAGGTTTTTAACAGAAGCCAGTGCAGAGCCTGGCCGGGACGGCTAGTATATACATATCTAATATATAAAGTTGAAAATTCTGTATGTATGTAATTATGTTTGTCGTGCATTACAAAGGAATATAAGAAAATACAATACTTCCATGGATTCAAAAGTTAGATAATTAAAGCGCTCATGGTCTAAATCAGTGGTTCCCAACCTTTTTCGAGTGGCGACCCCCTTTTATAAAAAGTAAGTGACCCGCGACCCCCATAGAATTAAAAAGCCGAAATTAGTATGGAAATTAATAAGCACTAAAATAAGATTTTCTAGTAGACTTTCAATATGAACTACTCTTGATAACTGTTTTAATAGCATGAGTAAAATTGCATACTATTCTCTAAACCTTCGTGGTTAAGTTTTCAATTTAAAAAAATTTTTGTTAACGCCAACCTATGTCATTATAATTATCTTAATTTTGTTTTTAGTCGAAGAATTTTACGTTTTGGTATGAATGGTGAATACTACACCAAAATTGTGTCTGTAGTTTTTCATCTTACTCGGAATCATTCTGCAAATCAAAGAATTCATCTTGTAATTCATCGGGAATGCTGGCAAAATCAAGGGAAGAAGAGAATGGGTTATGCGTAAATGCAGATTCTTCTTTTTTTCAGCTCAGAGAAATAGCGATGCAGTTCGTTTTCAAGAGATTCAAGATGCCCAGAAATCGCTTCTTTCAAAATTTTAATTGTCTCACAATCAGATTCATCTACCACACTGCAGAGTTTCTCAAATTTACAATATTTTCAAGATTTGTTTTCTTTACCGATTTTGCAGCTTTGATAAAAATGCCCGAGATTATCATGGAAAGTTATAATATTCGTTCATTTTCCCTGAAGCTTCAGGTTAAGCTTATCTTGATGTTCAAACACATCTGCTAGGTATGATACTCTTTCCAACCACTCTATGTCGTTTTAAGTATACCAAAATTTGATTTTAGATTTGAATTCAAAAACACAATTAACAACATTTCGTTTGACAGCCAGCGTACTGTAGTGTAGAAGAGCAGAACCTCGTGATCTATATTAATGTTTTTGCTCAGTTCTTTGAAGGTTCCAGATTTTATATAATTTACGACTTATACTAGCAATGGACACTTGATGTCGATTGGTTAGGGCAGTGGTTAGGGAGTTAAATCTTTTCTGTTTTCTGAAAGCCCGATTTTGACCTAAACATAGATGGCGCGCCATCCGTACAAACCACCACAGCCGTTCTAACCCATTTTAATCATCCAGTTTCAAAAAAGGTATTTATTTCCTCCATGCTATCTTCACAAAAGAGCAACTCTTCTTTGCTATCATCCGCATGAATATACACAGACCATCAACTGCGAACACGAACTCACATCTGTTGATTTATCAACTTGAAAAGCAAACAATGGTGAAATCTTAATTTCAATAAAAATGTGTTATTTAACATTTACGTACATGCAGCGTTTGATGAGATTTTCTCCAGTTTTTTTTTTGCTTGGCATTTTCTATCGCGACTTCATTTGATGCTTGCACTAATGCTGGTAAAAACTTCCTGTTCGATCAAGTTTCTGGCATTTGCAACTAGCTTCTTACCGACGAAAGAACTCCATATATTTTTTGGTGTGTTCCGAATGACTCGTCTCAAATGACGTTTTAGTTTTGAAGATTTCATAGATTCGTGACTGAGAACAACTTTGTACAGTGCGCTTTGTTTCTTCTCTATTACATTTCCAGTGATGTTAATGAAGCCGAATTTTCAAAAATTCTTCTAAATATTTATGTTTTGTTTCAAATTACTAAGGTTTGGTATACCAGTTGGCGACCCCCCAGAAAGACCTTCACGACCCCCAGGGGGGTCGCGACCCCCAGGTTGGGAACACGTGGTCTAAATGCATGGTTTAAAAAATTAATACTGAAAGTGTTGGGAAATAATTTTCATTTTTCAAACTGATAGTAATAATTGTCGGCATGGTCATTAAACTTTTTTTTTTTAAAATATCATCTTTTACAAAAATTCTAATTATGTCTGAAAATTATTTATATTTAGTCCTTTAGCACTTACTTCCCTTTGATAAATCAGGAAAACACAATTACTTCCCTTTAAAGGCATTATATCGGGTGGAAAAGAATTTACTTTTTATTACTTTGTTTTGGTGTTGGGGAAACAAAGAATTACATAATTAGCACGGATAATTACTTTGTTTTGGTGTTGGGGAAAAAAAGAATTACATAATTAGCACGGATTAATCAAGTGCATATGGTAGGTATTTTTAATTCTGCATTTTATT